CTTAATAATATTTTCTAATAAAATAATAATTACTAAGCTTAAGAGCTCTAGTAATTATAAGGTCTAGGCTTTAAGTATATACTAAGGTATTTCTTATAAAGGAAGCTTAATTAGACGTACTAGTAACTAGGTTACGTAATACTAAGGCCTAGAAGGTACTTAGTAATATCTAGCTTCTTATTAAAAATAAACTACTTTTATAAATCTAAGATAAAAAGACTATATAGAAGGCCTAGAATATACTAAAGACGCTATATAGTATATAGGGATTCTCTAATAAGGTTCTAATTTACTAAAAGTTCTTCAGTTTAACCTTAAATAAGTATAATTCTATAGAAGAGTACTTAAATAAGGTTAAATACCTTAGTAATTAACTAAAGGCTAAAAACCTTAAGTTACTAAAATAAGTTATTATAGCCTAAGTACTTAATAGCTTAACTAAGAATTATAAGACTATAATCTCTAATATAACCTAAGCTTTATAAACTAATATAAATATATATAACTTATACTAGAGAGTTTAACCTTAAATTTTATTAATAAGACTAAATAATAAAAGTCTAGGAATATTAAAGCTTTTTCATATTATATAGCTTACCTAAGAGCTATAATAGTAAGAAGCTCTAGAAAGTAACTAAAAGATAATATTACTACTATTATAAATAAGCGAGATTATATATTACTAGTAACTATTATTATCTATTTTTATATAAGGTACCTAAAGGCTTTCTTTTTAAGGAATTAATTATAGCGCTCTTCAATAAAGCTTAATGTAACTATATTTATAAGAGTATGAGTAAACCTTAGTACTACTAGCTACGTAAGCTATTTAGGCGCGAGGAATACAAAAATAATATTAATATCTTATTTAGTAAATATAACTGTAAAGATAATAGTAATAACAAATCTTATATTATTATTAATACTACTTCTAAATATAAAGGCTATAATAAAAATATAAACCTAGATTTTAAAGAAGTATAAGTAAAAGCTCTAATTAATTACTTTAATAAATTAAAAACTAAAGATAATATAAATACCTTATTAAAAATAAGTATAACTAGCTAAATAGAATAGGTATTTATAACCTTTATTTTTAAATTAAATAGTAATAATAATACTAAATTTATATTAGATATAAGCGTTAGTACATATATTATTTATAATAAAGAGTATTTAGTAGACTTTTATACTAGTAATAAAGTAGTTAAATAAAAGAATACTAAATCTATTACTATTTTAGAAGTTAGGTTTATTTATATAAAATTTAAAAATAATAAAAAATATTTTTTCTTTAAAATCTATTTTTATATACTATAATTAGGGTTTAACCTAATTAGCCAAAGTAAATTAAAAAGTATTATTATATATCTTATACTACTAAGTTACTATTTATTATCTATTTATTATATTATAAAAGAAGACTTATTATTAATTTCTTATATTACTAGAAATATATAATTATATAACTTTATATTATATTTATACTTATACTACTTCTACGAAATATACTCTTTTATAACTATATAAGTTATCCTACTCCTATATACTATACTACGTTATACAAATAGTTATTTTCTAAGTAGTTATTATCTAAGTAGTTATTATTTAAGTAGTAGTTATACTAGAATATATAGCTATCAAGGTAGGTATACTTATAGGAATTAGATCTTTATCTACGAGCGTATATAAAAGTATACCGAATTAGTAGCCGGTGGTTACCCCCTTATACCCTATAAACTAACCCTCTAAAAATACGAATTATAATATCTTTAATATAATATTACTAAGTTATTAGCTATTAGAAGTACGGGATAAAATATTTAGGTTATTTAGAGTTGATTTATATAAAAATTATCTTGAAATAGTAGTGTCACAAATCACGTGCTAACACGTGAGGAGTTAGTCCAGACGGGGTTCTGACAGGACAAACACATCATGGCTCTTATAGCAAAAAGGGATCGCTTAGGTTAGTTAAGCGATCCAGGGATTTCTTTGTATATAAGTCACGTGATATATACAGGTCGACATTGTCGACTTCAGGAACACGAAGGTTCTATATAAGACTGGCACGTCTGCCATTAGATATGAGCTTCGTGCTCAACTTAGTTATCAATCTTATCATATTAGTTTGACATCTTTGATACAAGTAACGAGTTCACTTCCAAGTGAACAACCCGATAGTCTTCTTCTTATCATAGCATACCAACCAGCGAACACCCAGCCAAGTTTAGTTAGCCAGTTTGAGTATTCGTTACAAGTAGGTAGTTAATTTACTACTAGGTTTAGACTATATAGCTTTACTAGTAGTCTCTAAGTTAGTATAATATTCGACTTACTATAACTAACCACTCTAGTAGTTAGTTTAAGAATCTAAAAAGTAAAAGATTAATTCGAAAATTAGTTAACTTAATTATAACTTTTACTATAAGGATTTATATATTTTACCTATAAAGAATTAATTTATATATACTCCGAGGCCAACTAGTATTCTATTTATATTATAATTCTTTAGACTATATATACTATAACTATAGGCTCTTTTACTTACTATTAGAGTACTAAAGCTCTAGGGCTTTATAGTATATCTATATAAGCTAGTATATTCGATAGAGAATTATTACTTAGGTTTAAAGTCTCTAAATATAAAAAGTAAATAAAAATATCTTAATTATTTAGAGCTAACTTAGAATAAGTTAAGCCTAGAGGGCGTAAAAGTATAGGAATAGGAGTATAAATAGTCGTTTATAAACGAGCCTTATTATAACAAGTACCCCTCGACCTACGTATCGAATATACTACTAAAGACGATTTAGCGTAATATCGTATAGGTTAAGGTAAGATTAATAGTAGGGTATCGAGGCAAAATATTAAGGTTATATTTACTTAGAGTAGAGTGTAATCTAAAGGGCTCGGAACACGAGTAAATCGAGCAAAGTTAACACTTAGCGTACGAATTAGGACGATATTTTAGTTTTAATATTCTAAGTACACAGAGTCTAAACAAAGCGGGGCGTACTTCCTTCGAAGCATGGGCGATACTTCTTCTATATAACATCTGGTAATCTTATATACCGGCTTTCAAGCTCCATTATACCCGTTCGATCCTCGGAATATTTCATTCCCCGCTGTTGTAGTCTCCGTGCTGTAATCTTTGGTGACTTCCACATCCACGGTCCTAGCAATCCCCATGATTATCTCTTCGCTATCCCTCTCGTCAAAGATGTTAGCCACCTTCCCCCCATGGCTCTTTTTTCTTTTATCCTTCCAGGTTTCTGAGCTCTCCCAATGAAACTGGTCGAGTTCGTATCCGTCATGAGCGGATCGGATTCCTGTGGTGAAGAGGGTTGGCATAACTATCTTGATGAGTCCCTTGAGGGTTGGAAGACAGACACAAATGATTGCAACGCAAGATTCCACCTGTGTCCAAAGAAATGCACTGCTGGTGGAGATAACATCTTCGGGGGTTAGTTTAGAATTTGTCATCGGATGGGAAGATGAAACTTACAGGTCATATCAGCTTGAGCGACCTTTGAGGCAGGGTTCAGAGCTATCATTCTCATGATACTAGCAACAATCACGCTTTTAAATTGGTAAGCTGGAAGTCATCGGCTGGTGAAAGAGTACATACAAAGCTCCAAGTCCAAAGATGCCCGACACCGCAAGCTTCTGACCCCTTCCCATTCGAAGAGACCGAATGACGGGCAGAGGCAGGAGAAGAATTACAACATCTCCGGCAGTGTTCCAGGCAGCATGTCCATACCAAAAAGCAGCCGTGTTAACACAATGACCCCCAGAAATTGTTCGATTCCAGAAATAGGGTATTGGTGTACATTGGAATATTGTTCCTGCCACAAAGGAAATCATCGCTACAATCACCGAAGTTTGGACAACGTAGCAGACTCTTCTGAATGTTGATATGGGAAATAGATCGAGGTACAAGAAAACAAATGACATCTTGGTTTCACTGTCAGTCTTCAGTCTGACTTTGATCAAGTTTGGATACTCGCTTACTTTGGTTGTGCTGACGAGAATCTTGTAGAATATCTGGTAAACGTAAAAATACTAAAGTGGTGTTAGTATTAGGCAGAACGAGCAACGAATTGCAACTGGTTTACTAACCATCATTGCCTGGGATGCTTTGTGCCGGCCGATGTACGCTGTGTGGTGACCTAATCCCCATTTAAAAATGGCTAGCGGACAGGTGTTAGCAACTTAAGGGCACTGGCGTTCACAAATTGGCCTAGAAAAGACATGAAATTGAGCTGCAATCTGGAATGGGGTTGACGGAGGCTATCATAATCTCTCCTCTTCGAGTGCAAGAAACGGCCCCAGCAATGCTTACCGATGCAACCTAGAACTTCTTGAATAATTGCACACAGCTACAATATTTTCATTAGCACGGCCGCCAGGTAATCGATGTTCCAGAACTTACCAACGAGACTAGGACCGAAATATCAGTTGGAGCAACTGCACCAGACATCCTTCTTCGCCACCACACTCGAAGCCAAACGAGAAAAATCGTGAAGACCGTGATAGGAATTGTGACTTGAACCCACAAAATACCCTGAGTCTCGGGATTTTTAGCAAGAGGATCCGATGTTGCATTCATAATGGGAGTATGTTCCTGCGCGTCGGTTGGAGGCGGTACTTTATTTGCTTCCGGTTAGAATGAGCAGTCCAAGTTAAGATAGAGGTTCTCTGCCCATATATGAAGGTACTGACTGTCCTTCAGATTCGGACGACTATTGACACCAACATGTTGGCAGACCCTCGAACGTCTCAAAAACCAAACACGAGCACTTCCCATAGATTCATTTACCAAAGCAGTGTCTCAGAACTCAACTAGACTGCCTTGACAATCGACACTTAGGAAGGGTTTACTGCGGAATACATGCCGAGAGCTTCGATATTCCTTCTCTGAACTGAATTTGAAGTTGGCAGGTAACCGAGACCGAAAAGAGTTAACATCGAATGATCATTGGCTAGAGAGGAGCTTCGTTTTTCTAGGTCTCTTGTTACGATTACATCTATCAGATCATCTGTGATTTGGATATATGAGTATCATTTTATTGTAAAACAGAACCATGGAGTGGGGAGGCTCAGGGAAAACCAGAGGTGATCCCTATTGGCGGACGGAGTATGTAGCACCCACCCACCCAGAGTGGTATTAGCATTATTGTCGCAACTTGATTGAGACTATGAGATTTTTCAAAAGCAAGTTGTATTCCCAATCATATCACTGGGTAACAGGAAAAACCTGCGTTGAGCGGACACTGGAGTTTGAAGTACCTTGCATGTCTCATTCTCCAGTAACGGCAGCAGAGACATAGATACGTCGTTCAACGGTCGCTGGGATGTCGACGTCTGGCGAAATTCGGGTGAGCACTTGAACCCAAGTTTACCATACAGCTGGGTCGGAAGTGGCTTCCGTCGTCCGCTGGCCACACTTATTGCGATACGTCTACCGTGCATACTTTATGGTCACGGTTATTGAGGCCTGTGTCTCGGTTTGGCTGGGGCCTCTTCGGCGCTCATCCTTGGGGACCAGAAGAACTGCCGCAACCGATATTTTGCTTTGAAGCTTCACACTTCGCGCTGACTTACCTCCTCCTTCCTTTCCCCCAGACCCATCCACTGAAGCTTGCAGCGGAGCTTACTGATTAGATGGCTACATGGTGAGGGATCATCAGCGGGAGGCCCCGCATAGCCAAGGAGTGATATGTAAATGAGGAGGTTATTATAAGCACATTTAGCCAAGTCTACCCCTACGGAGCCCCGATTTCTTGTAGCAGGGAACATTAATTGTTTCTTACATGAAGTTACAAGTGCTACCCCAGATTCAAATTATTTTGGGAGCTTGAGTAGGAAGTACTCACTAAAGTAAGCTCTTCTTTTTGCACCCAAATAGTAATGTATAGCGTAAAATTCAACTGTTCTAGAACATGATATTGTAGCCTTTAGTATTGCAACTCAAAAGCGGAACATTTTGAGGTTACATACTTGCATGTAGAGCAGGTTATAATAAACCCTCGAAGTGATAAGCAATCCCTTAGTCATTATAGACAGCCCTAGAATATGTAGCGTACGCATGAAACACTCAAGAATACAAGAGGGTAGATCTCACGAAGCAGTGGGGAATTCCGCAAGTACTGTACAGAAAAAGGCTAGATAGCGTTGCATGCATAATTGATGCTTTACTGTATGCGAGACTGGCAGCTGTAGATGCCGCTCTACTGTGACTGAGCCGCGATTGGTCTAGCAGCTGATTCTTAATTCTGCATCCGCACCTGCACCTGCATCTTTCCGCACTGCAACTTCAAGCGAAGGGGTTACTTCTTACGCTTTTGTAAGTCAATTTTGGAATCGGCCTTCCCCCATTTTAGACCACCAACCGAATTCTTGAAGTATTCGGTGACCGAGTACTACTCAGTATAGGGGTCAGACCAATGGCACATATATAATGCCCTTTCCAATATCAAGGTAATGTGCAGCAGTGACATTGCAATAAAGCTGCTCCAATATCCACCCGCACTTTCTTTTCTTCTGATAAAACCAACATCTTTCATCTCATAAATTAATCTCCAGTTTCCAGTACCAAGAATGGAGAAATCCCCCAGACTCTCGAGCTCAGACATCGAGCAGGCTACCGACGTTTCGAGTGGTGGTTGTGCTACATCAAATGAACCTCCTGCCCCTCCAGCTCTTCCTACCTTCACTCCCATGCAATATAGGAAACTTATATGGAAACTCGATCTACGGCTCCTCCCAGCTCTCTTCTGTCTGTGGTTTGTTTCCCTGATCGATCGAATCAACATTGGCTCCGCAAATATCTATGGTATACAGAAAGATTTGAAAATGGATCCTAGAAGTAATGATTTCAACATCGCTCTCTTGGTGGTTCAGGTTGGTCTCATCACCTGCGAGGTACCGAGCAACTACCTGTTAAAAAAGACATCCCCTCCCATAATCCTTGCGGCAACAAGTATTCTGTTAGGTACGTAACCCATGGCTTCATCCTTAGATGCCGGGAAGCATTGTCTGACTGTCCACAACCAGCCATTTGCACTATTGGTCAAGGAGTAATTACCAACTTCTCGGGTCTGTTGGCGGTGCGATTCTTTGTTGGAGTGTTCGAAGCAGGTTTGATTCCCGGTAAGTGAGCATAGCCAACCCCAACCTCACCATCACTGATTTGTGGAAAGGGAGTGTTTATGTCTTATCTCAATACTATCCACGTTACGAACTGCAATGGCGGTTGAGTATGTTGATGGTAGGTAATGCCGTTAGCAGTGCTTTTGGTGGGCTCCTGGCCTTTGCAATTGCCGGCATCAAATCGAGTAACGGGTATTCCCCTTGGAGATGGATTTTCATCATTGAAGGGTGTATGACGGTTGGAGTAACCATCCTTGCTTATCCCTTTCTGCCTGGTTGGCCAGCTACAGCGAAGTGGCTCAGCGTCGACGAGAAGGCCGTGTTGGCAGATAGAAGTAAGGACACCAATGCTTCACTACGCATGAGTAATCTGTTAACTGCAGGTAGTTAAGCGACAAGGAATCGTTGGGAAGATGGAAGTTTTGAACTCGAAAATAATGAAGAGAATTGTCTTGGACTGGAAAATATATCTTCTGTTCGTGGTCCTCTATTTTCCTTTCGGTTTGTTCATTGACCCGAGGATGATGCTTACTTTCCACAGTGGTGCCGTTGCCAGCTGTACGACTGTCACCGTGTATAGTACAGCCATATTTGCGCCTACTATCGTCAAGCAATTCGAGCCAACGGCTAGCGCCCGCTACGTACAGGCACTTGTAATACCAATTTTCATAGCAGCGAGTGTCGGCTGTCTCGCCGCAGCATTTGCGTCCGACAAACTGAAGCATCGTGCAGGATTTGCACTTTTAGGATACTTACTTATCATCAGTGGGGCAGTAATTTTGATCTACCAAGATCAAGTCAGCTCAAAAACCAGATACGGCGCACTTTACCTCCTGGCTGTCGGATCTTACATCTCCCTTCCTATGCTTTGGACAATGCTTGTCAACAACGTGAGTGGCTCCTACAAAATTGGGTATGCAGTCGCTATGGAAGTAGGACTTGGGAATGTTGGAGGTATTGCTTCTGCTTTGCTATTCCAGGGAAAACAAGCACCCAAGTATAGATCTGGTTACAAGACGATTTTAGGAATGAGTTGCGCTGCTGTTGGGATGATTGCAATTTACACTTTGGCTCTTTGGTATGAGAACAGGGCGAGAGATGCTGGAAAAAGGGATGCTCGACTATCGGATCCTGATGTGGACAATCTTGGTGATGACCACCCTCAATTCCGATATGGGTACTAAGCTCTACGTCACTGCTGTATGATAGACTTGGGGGGGGGTTAGAAATACATGACTTGTTCTCTGTGTATTGATTTCCTATCCATTATGCCTGTGGCCTTTCATCAGCCAAACAAGAAAGGAGCATCGTAGAAAGCCAAAAGTTCTTGATCTTGGTCCATCGAATCAAGCAAATTCTTTGACAGGCAGTTGCAGCCATCAGTGTCAGCATTAGTTCACCGGGGATATATCACTGCATGAGAAGCACTTTGCCACCTGGCGTCACCATGCAATGATATGCATTATCGGCACATCAACAGCTAACCAGAGTGAAAGGTTGCCGCCTACGACGGCGATGTGCATAAGGACTTGCGTAAGTCCGTACGTGAGATTACTGGCTCTTACGGTTTTACAAACACGTGAAGGTATTCAAATTTCCGTCTGACTACAGGGTAGCCAGTATTGTTGATATTCTAGATAAATAGACAAGCCCTCTGTAGAACTTCGAACCGAACACGAAACCGTGACAGTTTGCGTTATTGGCATTTTTGTGCACGACCCAACCCAGTCATTCTCAACCCAGTCAAGACATTTGAGACCATAGCAAGCATGGCTGACCCAAAGTTCAAGCCAATTCATATAGCAATAATTGGTGGGGGAATCGGTGGCGTCGTCCTGGGAATTGCTCTCGCTAAATTTCAACACATAACCTTCACAATTTACGAATCACGAGCAGCATTCGGTGAAATTGGTGCGGGAATTGGATTCGGAGCAAATTCTCACCTAGCGATGAGCTTGATATCACCTGAAATATGGGAAGGATACAAAACTCGTGCTACATACAATGGTTGGGATGAGAAGCAGGATACCTGGTTTGATTTTTCTTTTGGCGAAAAAGGGGAGAATGACGGGAAGCGAATTATCGAGGTTAGAATGAGGGAGCAAGATGACGCAGAGTACGGCTCATCGAGCCCATTTTTTGGAGATCCTGGTCAAGTTACCCCCGGAAGGAAAGACTGAATTCAACAAGAGGTTGGTAAACGTCGATCAGAGTGGAGAGAAAGTAATCTGCGAGTTTGCTGACGGCACTCGAGCAGAAGCCGATGCTGTTATAGGCTGTGATGGAATAAAGTCCAGCACGCGCCCATTTGTATATGATAAACAGGACGAGCTCGCAAAACCGATCTTTACAAAAAAGGTGGCCTATCGTGGTCTGGTGGCTATGAAAGCGGCGGAAGCAGCACTTGGAGCTGAGAAGGCCAACAATCGGCAAATGTATATTGGGCACGGTGGCCATGTAAGCACTAAATTTTTCTTTTTCTTTTTTTGTTCCAACGTGTCGAAGAGTTTGAATCTTGGTTCTGATTGGTATAGGTGTTAACGTTTCCGGTTGCGAATGGCACCTTGATGAACGTGGTGGCCTTTCGCAGTTATCCCCAAGAATGGAAAGGGGAGTGGGTGAAGCCCCTCCAAAAAGAGAATGCTCAAGGTGCTTTTCCAGACTCACATTGGGGCAAAAACATTGTTACCATTATGAAAGTAAGCAGACTTCCAAAGGTCATACTCGCAAGATGAAACTGACTCTTTCTTCGAGCTTATACAAAATCCGGATGCATGGGCAATATTTCAACACCCAGAAGTCTCTACATTTCACCAAAAAAATTTGCGCCTCTGTCTTCTCGGGGATGCAGGCCATGCGATGACCCCTCACTTTGGCCAAGGTGCTGGAATGGCTATAGAAGATGCATATGTTCTTTCTAATCTTCTTGGGGAATGCGCTTCTACTGCAGATTTGGTCACCGCTTTTGAAGCTTACGACAGTGTTCGGGTACCACGCACGATGAGAGTGATTTCAGCAAGCCACGAACAAGGAAGGGTACTTGACTTGGAAGGAGATGGCATTGGTGATGACATGGAGAAGCTGGCTGCCTGCTTGAATACTGCTGTGCGCTGGATTTGGTATGAGGACATGGAAGCTCATTTAGCCACTGCGAAGCAAAATTTCGAATCATTGAAGCATAGGTAATGGCACAGAGGTGGAAAGGGTAACGCTTTCCTGTGAGATACCACAGGAAATGATAAAAAGCCGAATGTATATCTTACAACGTGGAGAAGGGACTTTGCCAAATTTATTATGATTGATAGTAACTCGGGAGATAACCGACCCATTCTTTGTCGAGTTACTTTGCATTTCAAACTTGTCAATCGTAAAACGTCAAACTCCGTAAACTGTTCCATATTGGCCTCATCTGACCCTTGCAAGTCCAACTAATCAACAGCTCAACTTTCTGTGACTCTATTGTCCAACCTTATAACCAAAGTCCTAGGCTCCTTTGAAAATAAAAATCTCCCCAGTGGTATCACTCGACATGAAAAGTCTGTCCTTGGAATCCCATGCGAGACCCGCAGGACGGAAGCAGCTGTTTGGACAGCTTGCACCATTTGGATTCGACATGACATGAACGCCTCCAGCAGTACTTGTCGAGAGCTCCTTTGGGTCTCCATTCACAAAGTCTACACGGTCTAAACGATACCCATCTGGTGGGTTGCGGTCCCTATTGTCATATAAACATGTGCCATTTCCTCAAAAAGAAAGACTCAGCTTACCAACTTCCGTGCCAGCTAAGATAAGCTGCACTGGCATTTTTTCTAAACTTGATATCAATAGGCGAATTATGTGCCGGGAATACCAGTCGAGGGGCAATTCGAGATTTGCAGGTCGCGTCTTGTGCCGCGGTCTGAGAAGTGCCCTCAACCCAGAACATTTCGCCAACTTTGAGGCCTGTGATCCCAATTGAACTTGGTTCGTAAGCAGGGACACATTCTGGGTAGCCGTAGTTTGCTCCTAACAAGGTATTTGCTGGATCATCAAGTTTGCCGTGGAAGTTCAACTTTTCGCCTGGGTTGTTGATGTGGACATCGTTTCCGTTGCGTCTGATATCGTCCTCTCCTTGGTCGATAGACCACTATGACATACAGTTAGCATCCGCTTCTTAGCTCCCCATCCTTATTGTGATGATACTCACGATATCGCCAGTTACAGGATTCTCTGCTATCCCAACAGGGTTTCTCAACCCCCATCCAAGAAGCTTACCCCCTGTTGCCTGTGGAATTGCTGCCTGATTCGCTAATGTGATGTTAAAGTACCGAATCTGGCTCCTTCCTGTAGTTTTGTCCTTGGCTCCAGCATCCACGTTTCCACTTGATCCGCGTGCAACGAGGAGTAATTCTGGAATTTTTTTGGAAACTAAGAGTGTTCGAGTTACATGGCCACTCTGCTGCATACCAGTGATAATAGTTTTCTTTCCTGTTGCGCCGGTTACTGGATCGTAGTTATATTGGAACACGGTGGAGACGCTCGACACGAAAAGCAACTTTCCGTCAGCCGAGAGGTCGATTCCATGATTGAGCTGGAATCGTATCAGCGAAATATGCGTGTCTCAAAAAGGACTCATAGAGAACATCCGGGGAGCGCAATCACTCTCCCCTCGAACGTCCACCAATTCTGATGCAAAATCGACAATGAAATCATGGAAGTTAACTCACAGTAGCGTCATTGATAATCTGTTTGCTGGATGCCACACAAACAGTCGTCCCATCATCAGTTAATTTGATCTGTCTTACACCACCACCTCCTTGTTCCACAACCAGTAAATTTCCTGCGGTATCAAAAACTAAACCCCGTGGTGATTTCAAGCCATTGATTATGACAGTTGCAGATAGACCTCCAGCATAAATTGCAGGATACTTCGCGCCGAGTGCTGTACAGGCACGCTTAGGCGTCTTCTTCGCAAGAACACCTGGTTGGAAAAGCAACGCCACTACGGCGATGCTGGTGAAAAGTGAAGAGAGAGTAGGCATAGTGAGCCTGCGAAGATTGATTATGATACTGTAACGTTTTGTCTCTCGATGCTGCCTCGCTGTTTGTCCTTGAAAGTCTTGTTACAGATAATGGGAAGTCGTTCATGGAATGCCAGATGGAATGCGCCAGCACATATACCACACTGCCGTGTTCCACCTCGGAAAAGTTACCAGCTCCAGCCCGTCACAATAATATCCGCTTAGACAACGAAATGGTAAATCTCATTTTGATCCCAGATTTGGTATCTCGATACCACTGATGCTGCGGGGCCAGACCGGGCAACAGGTTCAGCAGTCCAATCAAAACACAAACATTGAACAATACGAAAGAACGAAGGAAGAATTACTGACTGGCCAAGAGAAATGGATTAGCATCCTTTTAGGCGATATACCAATTCTTATCATGCGATCATACCTCACAAAGGAGATCTGGTAATTTCCTGGGGTTGAACAGTGTGGGGTAGTAATACATTGATCAAGCCAAGCCCGCCCAATGATAATATCCCAATAGCCGGGAAGGTTAAGCAAACCAGCTTTGAGAGCCTTATCTACAAGTGGTTGCCAACTTCCCCGCGGATCAATTTTTGAGAATAGACGGGAAAAAGTGTTCGAAGCTGCATAGATCTGGCGGGTGACGCACATGACAATCGTTGAGGTCAAGATCTCGGTAACTAGTGAAGGTAACACAGCTAGAATATAAATGGGAAAGAGGCGATAACAATTAAATGTCAATTCGATACCATCAAGCATAAAGCAATCTGCGAATGCTTACCGCCCATCCTCTTCTTCCTAGAACGCGCGAAGATCTCATTCAAAAGCGGATTCCTTCCCTCATCCCCCCAACTCTGGCCAGCCATCTTCAACGACACGCTTTGAAGTCTTTTGACGGATCACCAAAAGCTTTAGCACACTTTTTTCAAAGCGTAGGTACTTCTACAGCCACTTTCACTAGATCTGCCGGGTCTTTTAACACTCCGGAGTTCACAATCAAATATAAAGACGTCCTCGCCAGACAGGACGTAGGCAGGGCGCTAGGTAGGGTCTCTTCAGTCGGCTCATCAGAGGTACAATTTACAGTTGAAGAAGGTAAGAAAGCAGGCAGAGTAAATGGATTGAGTTAAGTTGCGCTCATCGCTTAGGTATATTGACATCAAAAGTGAGGGTGGACATAAGTGAAGTGGACATAATTGATTGTTTACCACCTACAATATATAACCACAACGCCACTATTAAAAGACCAAGATCAGCGATCAAACCGAGTGGGACACAGAACTCCCCCCCAATTCAAACCGGATGCAATTCGAATACTCCGTATATTATTGAGCGTACTCGTACACTTGACAGAAAAGTAGAGTTCATCCGAATCTTATCTATTTGGGGGTACGCTCAGAGTGGCGTTCACCAATTTGAGCCAAACAGGCCGGTGCACTCCCTCCTCTCCCTCGCAAACCCCTCACTGGACGGTAACGCCTGACATTGCAACTTTCGGATGTCGGAGATCGTGATCTTCTTATCCTCAACACATATATGGCATTATTTGGGCACGGTGTCGTTTTCTCTTGCTCTCCCCAGCCTTTACTTGGCATGTTTCATGTTTGAGTAAAGAAGACTTACGAAGACTTTTCCTGTGAAAATTTTCGGTAAATAATTCTCTCACCTATATATCTCCACTTTGTAGGTATAGTTGATTAGTTTTTAGAAGAGTACATGTTGTACCTCCTATTTTACTCTTCACCCGAACTCCAGAAGCCGGAATTGGGGCATTGGGTAGATAGGGGATTGTAGATATTGGTATTACCTATGGTAAGGTTACCGACTGTGAGTGCTATATTTTCTTTTTCCTTTCCCACCCCCACGAAATATCGTGTACCATCGTTCGTTGATCAGTTATTCAGTGATCCGAATTCGGGTTGTTGAAATGTTCAGTGAGACTTGGAAGCGATGATTGCGGTAGAGCGGGTGCCAGCCACACGCGATGCATTCAGTGGCTGCATTCGTCGTTGGAATCTAGAATCAAATTTGGGTACCTGACCGTGCTGTTCTCAACATGAGACTGATGGCACGGAATATGTTAACATGTTAAGATATGTGTGATAAGTTATAGGAGAACAACACTAGCAGAATCTACTGTATGTAAAGATATAAGGTCGTTATGGGCAGGTGCAGTCCCACTTGATACAAGGATGCTCGATGTTAAAACAACGTCATTTACATGCTTTCTTTCGGTCCTAAAAATCTTTCAAAGTTTAAAGAACATGGCTATAAGGATATCCTCAATGACAAGCCAAAACACCGCGCATGACCACAACCTTGTATCAAGGCTGTTCTGTGTTGGTACCTACCTACGGAGTGTAGGTGTAGTGAGATGAATAGTAATATTTTACTTCGCAGATAGTAGATAGTAATCTAAGGTAGGTAGAAGGCAGCTTGATGGCACGTTTGACCGGTGGGCGCCACCCGGCGGTACTATAAGTTAGCACCATCCCGTGCCGTCTAGGAATTCCTAGCCAGCGTGCCGGTACAGGGCCGATATTGGCAGAAGCGAGTGTGATAAGCGTGAGGCCATAGGTCATACCGTACGCTGGATATAGCCAGTTGGAGGGCAGCCTAGGTAGGCTCACGTTGCTCACCAGACTGCAACCAGTAGGGCTCGCTGGGAGCATCCTTCAGTGATCGAATACTCGAGTACGGGACTTGGGATGATGCCAGGTACGCGTACTCCACTCTGTTTTAGTGTGTAGGTAGTGGGGGTCGCCAGAGAGATGGCCAGAAAGACAGAGTCAGATAGGCAGACTCGCAGAGCCTATTTGAGTTTTGACGAAAGCGAGCCCCTGGAATCCCCCCTATCTTATACACCCAATCAATCTTACACTGAATTCGATGGACCATTGGACGATCCTCATCGCAAACGACTGCCCACGCATATATATAGATATATAGTGAGAGATTTTGGTATCCGCAGTATATATACCGAAGTAGGCACATATTTACCTACCGATACCTACCTATACCGACCCTCGCTACGGAGGTACCTCGACCTGCAGAGTGCTCAGACCCGCTCCAATATATACTTCGCCCAGACTCCGGCACTGCGCCGCCGCGGTATCAGACGTCTTGGAAGGAGTGAGAAGTGAAGTGTCTGGTACTTGACAGTACTCGTACCACCGATTACTCGTAAACACGTACACACTTACACCTCGATTATTCCAAGCACGTTGGGAAGAGAGTCCACAACACCATCGCCATCGCCATCGCCATCACCATGGCGGTCGTTATGAATGCGAAGCCGTGCAGCATGTGGATGACGGCCATAGGAGCGCTGGTTCTCATCTGGACCCTGTGGGCGCTGCAGGGCCACTCGACGTCGACTCGGTCTCTGATGCCTCCTCCATCGGTGCCCAACTCACAGCCCTCTTCCTCACACAACCACGGCATCAAATCGCCGAGTACCAGCACGAGGCCGGCGAATGGCAAACACAACACCACCGTCACCGACCGACCTCTGATCCTGTACGCATACTTCGAGACGGAGAACTCGCGCGGGAACCTCGAATTCTTCCTGCGCCATGGACTGCACGGCGGTGCCGATTTTCTGTTCATCCTGAATGGTGACAACAAGGCCGAGGACATCATTCCCAAGGAGAAGAATATTCGCTGGGTGCACCGACCCAACGACTGCTATGACTTGGGTGCCTTCGCCGAGGTCTTGTTGAAGGACGACCTCTACAAGCGGTACAACCGATTCATCACCATGAACGCCAGTATCCGCGGTCCCTTTCTGCCATACTGGGCGACGGGGTGCTGGAGCGATATGTATCTGGACCGAGTGACGGACGTAAAGAAGGTGAGAGATGCCCATGCCCATGCCCATGCCCATCCCCAACGCCAGGAATGCAGAGAAACTGACTCGAATCTGTGCAGCTCGTCGGAATGACATTCAACTGCCACCCCGCCAACCACGTCCAATCCATGATCTGGGCCACCGACCGTGTCGGTCTGGAAATTCTCCTCTTTCCCACCGAAGAACAGATCGAGAAAACGCGAGCCTCCCTCCCTCCTCACAACCCCGATGAACCCATTCCCCCATTCACCGCTCCCGGCATCAATTCCTGCCCCCACCAATATTGGGACGCGGTGGCCGTCGAAGTGTACAGCACTCCATTGATCAAGGCTGCAGGATACGACGTCGATGTGATCATGACCGCCTTCCACAAGAACGAGCGTTACCAGGAAGATTGCCAGCGCAATATAGACTACAAGGACACTCTCTACGAAGGCACCTACTTCGGCACCACGATCCACCCTTACGATACCGTCTTCGCCAAGGCGAACAGAGGGACCAATGCCCTGGTGCTGGAGAGATTATCGGAATGGATAGATGGCAGTGGATATTCCTCCTACGATCACTGCCCTTCATAGCCCCAACACGCGTATACGAGAGCGAGCGACGACACAGGAAGAAATTGGTTACATGAATGCATTTAGCGGTCAAAAGGAAGGAAGGAAGGGCGGGCCAGTTCCCCCTTTGGGGGAGGATATTTTGTCGGCATTTTTTGTACTGTACAGTAAGACATATTTCTGGCATTTTCAAAACGTCGCTATTCATGACGTGGGGCATCATTTTGAGAGGAGTTAACATGGGGGGTTATTTTTGTTTACTTTTGGGCAGGCAAACTACGATACAATTTTGGCGATGCAAGAGAGATTTCTTGGACCGTTTTTGGGGGTCTAGAATACGTTTTGTTCTTGTCATTAGTTCATTATTTCTCTTCACTTTTGAGAATGCCCCAGACTGATGGATGGGCGGGAGTTAGCTGCTTGTTGATAGAATAATGCGTAGAATTATACTTGAATACCATCTCATGATGATCTAGAAGTGTGAGAAAAGAATGGTGCCAGAGTATCACGTAAAAAGATTATCGTATGAGGTAGAGTTGGGTTGATGGCTATTTTGGTTGGGCTGTTTCGTGTCGGCCGGCTTCTTACTTCGAGGTAGATGGTTCATCCTAACCACCTTTGAGTTCGCTCCAAATATACTAGGTTTTTATGCGGGGGCAAGCCGACGTAATATGCGAAGTTGTGTCGGGCTCTTCTCTCTCCCAGTCATCAAAGAGATTGAGCACTGTAGAGTCGATTGAGCTGGTGGGTTGTGTAGAAACTGGGATTTGAAGGGATCTCAGGGCATTGGTATTCTGCTTTTTTTTGGTGTTTGTCAATTAAGCAAACTTGGAACGAGGCTTGTCTTTACTCTTAGGTTATTTCCCTTTCCCATTGGAATTCCTTCTGTTTAGTCTCGACATGGTAGAGCTTTACATACGTTTCCGACGTCAGACGTGTTTTCTTCTTCATCTGGGGATAATTACTTTGTATCTCATTCTCTGAGAAACGCTGTGATGGTATCCTTGAACATGTATCAGCATTCATGGTGAGTATTGCGTAAATTGTATTTCAACAAGAGGAACCTAGTGCCCTGGTTTTTCGGTTTAGTAGAGGATCTGTTAACTTCCAATTACCTCTTTATAACTACTTCATATATATACACTTACGAATTCGGTGTATCTGTGCCAATTGTCGTTATTGTTATCGAGTCCAACAATCCTTCAAACATCATCCCCATCCTACACATCATCGAAACCTCTCAACTGCCCCTCCAACCATCTAGCAAGCTCCCTTCCATCTTCATCACTTATAACGCCCTTCTCCCACCTAACAACAACAGTCATCCACCCGTTCTTCACTGTCGCCAACATGACTTCGAATGGTCCCGCGTAGGTACAAATAGACCCAGAAAACAAAACTTTATCAAATGTGACCCGTCCTTCTTTCCCCTCTGCTCCAATCCCACCATCTACAACCCCAATATTCGAAATCTCAAATGTGTATTCCCTTCTCTGTCCGAATTTCTTCAAGAAGAAGGGAACAAGATCTTTCACGAAGCCTAGGAGACCAACCATCTGATTCTTGGGCGATGCTGTTCCGGCGGCCATGAAAGCTCTCGTTTCTCTCGCGCTGTTCCATAGGATTTTATCTTTAGAAAGCAGGTCCGTATCCTTAAACTCGAAATGCGTTCCAGTATCCGATTTCTGCTCAGGAGAAACGCAAGATATATACCCCCTCTCCGTTCTCTTCGCCGACGAAAAAAGCGGCACAACATTCGACACGAAATTCCCCATATCTCTTTCCGAATGGCCGGTAAACTTACGGAGGGAGAAAGGAATGGTACCTGCGAAATGAGAGTACGTTGGATTCATAATCGCCATTTTTCTGGCGACGAGGACAGCGACTAATGCCGTGATACTCGTGTTCTCCTCTCTACACTTCTTCACCAGCTTCTTCACCATGCCGGCCTCGATCTCGAAACCCTTCTGGTCTCCTACTGCCGGGAGTATTGGTGGGTTCTTGATCGGTGGACCGGTCCATAATAACTTATCGAGGGGCGACCAGATGAAAGCTTTTATTATCTGTTTGAGGACGAACCACCAGGTCAATCCTAGCTTCGTGCCCATCTCCAGCGCTGGGATGAGAGGGAGCCTAGGGGCTGGTACTATCTCCGCGTTCGAGATGGAAGAAGGGTCCGAAAGGAGATTGTTGAGTGCTGAGAGGAAGGTGAGATGGAATGCATTTCCCGAGAGACCATCGCCGATGGCATGATGGAAGTAGAAGGCGACTGTAAAACCAAATATTCCCTCTTCGTCGTCATCTTCGCCGAGAATAGGCCTAGTAACTCTCACCCTCCAAAGTGGCATCTCATCTCTCCCCTCCAATTCTTTCTCATGGCCCTCTAGAATCCACGCATCCTCATTCTCACCATCATGCAAACCTCCAGAATAGAACTCGACTACATCCTCGAAACAGATTTTCTGGACTCGCCTCCATTCTGGAATGGGACTTACTTCGTCCTCGATGACAACACTTATGATCGGGTGCTGTGAGATGACTTCTGATAAGGCGGAGTAGATCAAGTATTTGAATCCATCTTTATGGTTAAAGGCCCCTCTTGTGTTCGAGAGCATAGTGAGAGGCGCTTTGTAGCGGGCTGAGACGAGGACTTTGTTGTAGAATTTTACGTGGGTGCGGGTTATGTGCCAGCGTTCCATGAGACCTGTTTTCGTTGGTATCATGGTTGCGGTGTTCATTTGGGATTAAGGGGATGGGGGAGGGGTACCGGTTGGTCGGAGGGGCAGGTCTTCGTCCATTTTGATTCAATTGTATGTTTTATGATAGGTTCAATTGCGATAGGGATGAGAAAGGGGCTGTAATAGAGACGGGTAAGCGAAGGAGGTTGAGTAACCTCAATTGAGGTTGTTACGACGCATACCAAGTACCAAAAAAGGGGGAGCCACGAATCCAAGACTAAGAAGGTATCGGTGGGCAATCTACCACTGGGTTGGCTACTTACCCGAGGGGTTTGAAATGAATTCAGCTCCTCAAGGTTCCGAGGATTTGGGTACGCTGTGCCGTAGAAGTACGAATTTAGGGGCTCCACAATCCGTACCCACAAAACTACTCTATGGCGCTGTCACCAAAAGCGCCAAATAAGTTTCTGCTAACCAACCCAAGTGGACAGAATGACAGAAGTCTGTTAACGGTACTCGATCAGTGCCCTCATTCTCGGATATTTTCCAGGTTCCAGATAACACCCATGGACCCAGGAAAGCTACTCCCACGTGAAAATCACATGAATATTACTAGATTTCCACGTGAGTATCACGTTTGTTGTGTTAAAATAATGAGCTTGTTTTTTACTCAAGGATGGTCCTCTTTCGCAGAGATTTATAAGATGGGGTTAAGAATTATCTTGATACAGACCAGTTGGTAGTGGCGAATGCATTTAGACGTTATTAGGTACGTACCAATTTAAGTTGCCTGCCCTAATAGGATTAGAGAAAAATTTACTTGGGTTTAGATTAGATGCTAGCAGTTTATCGATCTGGTTATTCCTTCCATTTTGTTTGCCGAGTCCTTGAAGTGGGCGAACAGAAAGCCATTTATAAGTTGAACGTACCCAAAAGCAAAGAACACACGTTTTAGTTAAGTACTTCCGAAAACTAGTCCCAAAGTACCGTGGTAAAGTCTCGCTTATTAGGTATCTGATATCAGAACCCCGCATGATTATTGAGCGATACTATAGTAAACGGTTCCTAAGGGGGATACTAGGGTGTGTTATTACTATACGGAACAGTGTAAATTTGACTTAACTAGAAGCTCCTACTCGCTAGAACTTATTACGATAAGTGGTAACCTCCCCTATATAGTCGGAAACTTCTATCTAGAGACACGTGGTGAGCAATTCTCGAAGTGACATGGAAGGTAATTTTGACAACTTCTGCTCCTCCACCGTCCTTTTAGTATATATGATAATATGAATCGAGCATAGAGATCTAGCTAAGGATAAAAAGACTGTATCATAGGAAGCACCTTCTCGGCACTGAAAGACCAAAAGACGCTGAAATACAGCGGATTCCACAAAATACACTAGGAGCTACGGTAATGACTTATGTTCTTGTTTGCGATGGGGCTTATTACCTTTGCCACTGCCAGTTATGCCGCGACTTAATTGACTCCTGCTCCTGGAAGAATTATTGATATAATGCTTTGACTGAATCGTTGTAGCGGAATTATAGAGATGGCCTGTCAGCATGATTTAAAGACACGTGGTACTCACAGTGCTGTCCTGGAATCTCCCTTCAAAGATTCCCAAGAAGACAAGTCTCTCCACCGGGATTTCAAGTGCACCTTTAGTGAAACATCATGGTTCTCCAGGGCTCAATTAGATTTTATGGCATCTTAGATAGACATCTATACAAGACTGAATGTTTCAAACTTCCTGCTCCCGTTTTCCACATCGGCAATCGCCCGTCCCTCCATCATGCCTTCAACATAGGAGTCCCCAATATTGACAAAATTGCCGTCCCCTTTAGCGCTTGCCCTCAGCACCACAGGAACTTTACAACCTGGAGCCACCACTATAATATCACCAACCTCGACACATCGAGGCCCGATCCCCAAATTAGAATCCCCATATACAATCAATTTTCTCTTACCATACCACTGAATCACCAACCAAGCTGAGAGCTCAGCCTTGTGTCTCTCCTCCTCAGATATTAATGCTAAAGGTATATCAAGTTTTGGCTCGTAAGTATCGTCATTCGGTTTGTATAGTGCCAGTAGAATACTTATATAACGAGCCATTTTCTTTTCGTGCTCTGCGCACAATTCCGGGTACGCTGCTATCTGCTTCCCATGCTGGCCAAAATTGAGTAGATCCATAAAACCATTCGCACCAAACATGTTTTTGTTGGTCAAGGAGTGGCAGGTTAACCACCAATGGTAGAGGATATCGAACATGGCTGTGAAATGAATCTCCCCGTCCTCATCGTCGTCACGGCCATGCATAAGTGGACCGATTTGTGTGATCTTTCCAATGTTAATGGCCTTCATGTGCAGAATGTCCTCTATTTCATATGAACGATGATTGGCTTTTGTAGACGTATATTTGAAATTTTAAGGAGTTTGTCTCTGGTGTAGGAGCAGTAGAGATGAGAGTCCAGATCATTGAGTAATCCAAGAGCATGATTTCGGAGCAATATACAGCAATCGAAAGAGAGAATTACGCAACGAACCTCTTTCAATTGTACAGTCAGCAATACTACCAGCGCCCGATGCCTCTGGGGTTCTACCTGGTGCGATACCAATTCTGTCAACTCGAATCTTGTCTTCAATATTTGTAACCAGCCACTCGGGTACCCAGGAAGGATGTATATGTGATACTTTTTCCCCGACAGTAACAGAGAAGGCTTGGCCGACAGAGGTTTTGTTTTCTGCAAGAATGCTCAGGTCTTTCTCTATACTAACGATGAGAATTGTAACAGCTTTGAAAAGAGTTTCAACTTCTAGATCATAGTCGATAGGGATCAATTCTTGCTTTTCGAAAGCCATTAAACTCCGAACGCTGTAGACTTTATCTCGGGGATCGAAGACTGGCTTTGTGCGGTAACGCGTAATAACCTCATGTATGCTTCCAGTAGGCGCATCCACTTCAGTGTGATTTTCGTGATCAACCGTGTTTGGACCCGAGGAAAATAAATCGTAGAATACGTGTCCTATACTGGAACTGGTAAGGGAGCGAAGAAGATCTGGGCTTTCTTTGAAAAATTGGTCGGAAACCCCCTTCATATCATCCCAGGTCATTCGACTGGTTCCACAGTAGAATGTGATGTTCTTCGCAAACGACACCTCTTGTACTATCCATGATCTTGCCCAGTATCCTCGCCTAAACAAATGTACAATTGCATGTATATCCTGATTGACTGGTGGAGAAGGAATAATATCAAAACCCCAGGGACCCTCGCTTCGATAGAGCGTGGCACCGAGTCCTTTATCTTTGAACGATTCAAGGATTCTAAATGCCCTCGGAATTTGAATATTCTGAGCCAAGCCACGAAGCAACAGCCGTGGCCTTGCTGTAAATCATACTCATCTTGCTAACTTGCATATTTCTCTCGGTGATATTTGTCTGGTTGATACATAGTGCATCAACCCACAATTTTCTATCCACGTCACCGCTGAAGAGTTGAGATAATGCAGCTGCAAGATTCGATCCGACATTCACTATGCAATCATCAATAAGAATCCGTTTTTCTTTATCGATTTTGCCATTCTTGTCGGCCCATGTGTATGAAAGAGCCTCGTAATCCGAATTCTCGTGTAGTGAGACGTGGTGAAGAGTATACTTGACTTGGCCGTCTATCAAGGCCGGATCTCCTCGGCAAAGCAACCGTATCTCGTCGTCGATCTCACTGACGGGCCCGTATGTATATCTATTGTGAGTTACCGTCGGAACATGGAAGCAGGCTTGGGAGGGAAAGACGCTATCATCCCCTAAATCTTTGTAAAGGTGAGAAGGGGGTCGAGGAATTCTTATTTTGTTGTTTTTCATGCGACCCAGAGCGAGCGAAAAATCCCAAGGTGAAGTCATGTATTTGGGGGAGAGGTACCTGGGCAAACTTGCAACCTTTCTGATGCGGGGAAAAGCCACTCAATCGGAGGAAATAACCTGCACTGTTGGGGTACATAGAACACCCTACATATCGACAGAAAAGGAAATTCAAGAGCGATCTCTTTTGGTTATTGGACAATGTATAAGAGCCCAAAATACCTTTGTCAACCAGGACTCCTGCTTCCATCTGCCAAACCTAGGGTCTTGAAAATATACAACAAAAACTTGACGATTAAAAGAGCGTTATTTTGATTCATTGAATGAGACTCTTTGTGAAGTGTGAAGTGTCATCGTGAGAATAAACCCGAACAGTATAATAACCAGGAAGCAAAAGCACTGCCGAGAGAGGAACGACAGTATATATTGGAGGTTTAAACGTATTCCTTGGTACTATACTCGTTTGATTGCTCTCTGTTGACTCTTTGCCGTAGCATATCTGAACTTACCAGTATTTAATTTGCTATTCTAAGAATCCATTTTTGCCTGAGCCCTGATGCTAAGTGTAGTTTGGTGTTTGGTGTTGATGAATCGCCAGCCAAGGCAATACGGGAATTTGGCTCATACCACTTCCTTCAAAGCGGCTCCATACTATGCCAGAATTATGATTGACTCGAATCATGGGAACCATGGGCTTGGTTTTCATGAAATGGAGTGGCGGTAAAGTGAAACGTGTTGCTGCATGATTGTGGAGACCAAAAGGATTCTTCCATTTACTGGAATAGGAAAAAACAAATGACTTGAGATTTAGAGGTAGATCATTCCTTATGGAACTTGGAGGTACAATTGTTGCATCGCCTTGAGGAATAGGATTTTGGAATTAATCTTATTCCATCATAGGTTGAAGCACGCTTGCGCACTAATAGTGGTTGCGTTCCATTCTTGAAAAGGTAGAATGGAATTAACTCCTAGAAATACTCTCACAACTTCCACAACTTCATCGGTAGACACTGGTCGCTGTCAGCACGTTTGGGAACTAGTGTGAATACTTGACGAATTTTTGAAAACGCCTATGGAGCATCAATTTTGAGCAGATTGTCGGACCCTTTCGCTTTATGTTCGCACTTTTTTTGGTGTTCTCAGCTGGTCACGTTTTTTCACTCGGCAGCTGCCGGCCGAAATTGATTAAGATCTTTATCGCTTAGCTCCTGCCTGTTTTGTACCTATCAAAGATGTCCACTCCAGATTTATTAATTTGCCTTACTTTCTTTCCTTCAAAAAAGCAACTTGTTCTTCGCCATGGCGGGTCCGTATTATGCCAAAGACCTTCGGCAATCGGAGCTCTTATCCATCGGTAGACACCGAGAAGAAGCACACATATGGACGTTGAAGGTGGGGGAGCTTACATATAATAAGTTCGACTCTGCCCCTCCATCAACCATACAACATCATCCATTGCAACGAAAGAAACTAGTAGTCTCTAGACGAACCATCAATATCTCTATATTCACAATGGCAATCAAGTCGCTAGAGATTAGACCGCTCAGCATCCCCTCGACATCGGCGGTCGATTTTGGCGTTGAGATTCACAATGTGGACCTCGAAAACTTGACAGAAGATGACTTCGATCTCATCCAGAATGCGGTCTACAAATCTCATATCGCCGTTATCAAGAACCAAGCTGGTCTCTCGCCCAAAGCACAGTATGAGCTCACCAAGCGCTTCGATCCCACTACAGACAATTACGGGCATGGAAAAACTTTGAATGCCAAACGATCGGTCCTTCACCCGGATCTCAAAACAATTCCGCACCAACCTCAAGTACAAGTTATTGGAAACGGATACTATGACGAATATGAGGGACTGAAAAACATGTAAGCAGAAGACATCAAGTTTTTAAGTAATATTTACGACAATGAGAACTAACCTTTCTTCAGCACCCTCAAGCACCCCCACCATAAGAAGTTTCACCAAGACGCAATTCTAGAGGAGGACGATCTCAATGCAACACGGTTCTTCCGATGGCACATGGATGCGGCCCTGTACGCCCTCAACCCTCCAAAAATCACCTCTCTCATGGCTGTGAAAGTGCCAGAGGGCAGACGTCAGACTCTGCGATATGACGATGGAACAGGAGAGGAAATGGATGTTCCACTTGGTACAACAGCATTCGTGTCTGGGCAAAACATGTACAGAATCTTGAGTGAGGAAGACAAAAAGTTTGTTCGAGAAGCCAAGGTCGAATATGCTGCTCACCCTTACATCTGGATGTCTCCAGCGAAGAGCCGCTCAGATGGTTTGGGGATGCTTTCTGAAGGTCTAGAGCTTCCAAATTCCGAATTACCGCCCATAAACGAAAAGGATATCAAAATCCTCCCAATGTGCTACAAGAATCCTGTCACGGGAAACCTTGCACTCCAAATCCACCCAAGTGCTGTGAAAGCCATCCACCTTCCAAACGGGGAAATCATGACCGATTTAAAGGAGGTTCGGGATCTTATCCACCGTCTCCAGAGGCCAGGAATCTCACCACAACATGTCTATCCTCATGATTGGGTTGAAGGTGATCTGGTCCTTTTCAACAACCAGGGTGTTTTGCACACTGTTGTTGGTGCTTTCACACCCGAGGAGAAGAGACTGTTCAGACAGTGCAACATGGCCAGCAATGAAGGTGTCTTGGGTCCTGATGGAAAGCGCTACTAAGCGTTGATTCAGGTCTCGGAACATGTGCAGGAAGAATATACGATATTGCTTCGAAACTTTTGTTTTATTTGTTTGCATTTGCGTTGTTGCTAAAGGGAGCAATTACGAACTCGGCGTTTAGACGTAACAAGCGTATACCCATGTTTTTCGGCTTTGGTTACGGTATCGTTTCTTTTATAAATTTAGAGTACAACAAGAATATCTTGTCATGTTGTTTGAAGTTTTGGCTTAAAAGTGAAAGCACCTCTTGAATGCCACCACAGATCTAACCCAGCAGAAAACCAAGATAATAACAATGTATTCTCCGAAGTACCTTGCCATCTAGTCCATTGAAAAAGACCTCTCTATATCCTGATAATCTCATAATTCGTTAATCGTAGCTTTAACTAATAATACAACTCTATTGCAATCCATCATGACGAGAGGCCACCGCGTATAAGTCCACTCTTAAAATCGGCACCCCCCACACCTAGCTCATCCGGAGGAAAAGACCGTGATTCAGGAGACGCCGCGGGTAACGTAGAAGGTAAAGGCAAAGCATCAGCCATTGGGAAAGCCTCGCGTCTGTGAGATGCTCCCCCTTTCAGGCGGAATCCACTACCTCCTACTCCGGTGTTGTCAGGTACTGCTGCTGAAGCATCTCTTTCGATGACAATCAGATCTGGAATCGCAGATAAGACTGGTGAATCTGCGATGGCAACGCTGCTTGAGGTGGGAAGTGGCGCGGCGAACGAGAGAGAGAGGATAACGGAGGCGATCAGGAGGATGAGGCGGACCATTTTGAGACTGAGATGGTGGAACGTAAAAGCGGTTCTTGGTATTTGGAAAAAGAAAAGGTAGGTGGGATTGACGGAAGAAAACGTGAGAGTTTTCAGACTTCGAAAGAAAGCAGATTAGAATGTGACATATAGAAAGTAATGAGAGAAGCGAGAATCTGTATTAGGAGATTTGTAGGCTATGAAAGAAAGGAGATATAAGGTGGCCTGCTGGAGGATGTTTAAAGGAAACTTTCGAAGGAACTCTCAACCTTTATATCAATGAGATAGAAAGATGGAAAGAATCTCGAGGCCGAGCAGAATTCGTATCACTCCCTGGAGTTATTTTGGTACATCGGCTCCAGAAGCGTCAACTTCCCATCGTTAAAATGCGGAGCTTGAACATGCCGCATATGGCGTAAACACTCAGCCAGCTGCCAGAGACAAAGGTACGTGAATAACTCTGTGTTACACGCAAGTGACGTGCACACCATCGCGATGGACTCTTTCCACATGCAGCTGCCGGAGTATATCCAATTATGGCCCCGCTCTGATGACACCCATATACTTGTGAAGTCTTAATATTATGGGTAACCTTGTTTCGGTGGACAAACTGCAGACCGAAGGCGTAGAAGCTTAAAGTATGACAATCAGCACTTGCATTCATGGCTATTTCGTTGATGGGATTGGGTCTGAATAGGGTCGTGTTGAAGAACGGAAACTTTTGAGGAGGGCGAGCCGCGATATTTTTAGATCAAAGTGGAAAGAAAAAGGAATCCATTGGCTGACGCTGTGCCACTAAAGGTGGCTCAAAATAAACGCCCCAGACTTTTGTGGGCGCCAATTAAGCGAGCGGCCACTCAAGCAACCACGACCAGAGACATTTCTTCAGCACAAATCAAACAGCCACTCTTAAGCCAGAGAATTTCGAAATGCTGGTAAGCTGCGCCCCGGGTTGGATCCCCATCGTATAGATCGCAAGAAAAACGTCTGGACTGCAGCGGGGGGGAGTTTTGTGGTAATCTTACAGGGATTAGTGGTTACCACCTCACCAACATCACCTCAAAGACCTCACAGAGATATCATTTTATCCGCTACAGTGACACAAATGACCCACTTTGTGCAACACACGAATGCGCAGCAATGCCACCCAACAGGATAGTAGAGACTGTCTCGACTTGATACAATTTTCGACCAGCCGTTGAAGAATTTTTGATTGCCTACAGACAATGTACTTACGTTACGAAGTTAGCCCTTGTAAACATTGAATTAAGGGCAAAATTTGAGTGCTTTCATTTATCAAATACTCATTTCGTTTCTTTTTCACGCAGCCTTATGCAGTTCTTGCATGTTTGGAAACAAGTATCTAATTCCGGTTCCACTTCATATCCCCATGTTCTTCCGTTATACATGTATTCTGCGAGTATCATTACTACCGCGGATGACTCTGTAATCAGTATTTTTGGGGTTATACGACATTGGATCTGTTTAAAGAGTCTCCCCATTCTGCTTCAAGTCCGAGTTCAATCGAAATGCCCAAGCCGGGATCTTTCAAGTCACAGTCATCCATCGTATTCGAATCTTTCCCGGTCTGGTAATATATGGTATATGTACAATTTGCCCAATTGTTTCCTTCCTGGTCAAATTCGTCAATCCTTCATTGAATCTAAATATGGCCACAAACTCCTCCACAATCTGTTTACACCGGCAGTTCCCATCTGGACGCCCATATCTGTACAATCTGACATGTTAAAAAGGCAACCGTTTCGAACTACCCGTAATTCCAATCTACTGCACCCGCTCCAAAGCTTTCAACCCGATACGAATGTGTGGTCTAAATATACGGTCTCCGCTCCTAGTTTCTTTCCAAAAAAACAAAAAAACAAAAACCTACTTCCCTAATCGTCACAAGTGGAGAAAGCCTCTTTCGTAGAAGATATGCATCCATGCCTTTGACTAAAATCAACATCGTTGTTCACCCGAGTAATGACCACCCCGAATATTATCGCCGGGATGATAAGAAGAACAACCGCGCCCACAGCAATACAGTAATATGCCCCTCGCCGATTTTGCCTAGGCCGCATCTGTACAGGTCCTGGTATTTGTTGTTTGTATGGTGCTGGTAATTGTCGGAAGCCTGCTGATGGCGGCATATAAGGAGGCGGCGGTGCCGCTTCTGTATAGGGGCTGCTGTAAAGTGGTAGCTGATGACTATTAGTCGAGAAAAGCATAGAATTGAAACTTTCCGAAGCTTACGACGGGAGTATTCCTGTCATTCTCTGAGAATTTTGCTGCTGGGGGAGGTGCGAAAACCTGTTGATGTATATCTGAAATGGCCATTGTTGAATTTGACCAATAAAGTGGACGTTTAGTGCCCACGGAAATGATAATGAGTAGTGATCCGACGTAAGTTACTTTCAAAAAGTTTTCTGATCTAGTCAAGCTTCGTAATCGTGATATGAGGACGTGTATTTGTATTGCTTTGTTCTGTTCAATTCAACGTTGCACAGAGATTGAACGCCCCCCCTTTTTTTTTGGAAGAGGTGCTGGTCATCTTATATCTCAACGCCATACCACGGCCTGCAAAATTGCCTGCCTAGCCGCAGTTGGGTGGCCATGCCATGATATATGTGAAGCGTTTGTAGGCGGAGTAGCCCCCAACCCTCCCGAAGAGTCCATAGCAGGAAGGGCCAGATTTGGTTGGGCGCGACTGCGGCATCGCTTAATGCCGATCTGATGTGAGTCGCTCAGGTTGGTAAAGGCACATGGGTGGCTGTGCCTTGAGATCCAATGCAAGGGCTTATTGGAGATTTCCAGTTTGCATTAAACGAAGTAAGGCTGTTTGTGTTCATTTTCGTTGATGTCTCCTGTGTATCTATTACCCTGCACCAAAAATTGCGATGTTCTTGAAACGCTATTGTGCAACCGTCACAGGTATCACCCTTATCAATTTCTTTAGCACCACAACATATGTATTTACATTCCCCCCCTTACTTTATCAACATCGTCGTTTCCAGCCAAAGCAAAAGCAACAAGAGCATTCCATTCCATGGGGTGCATACAAACAACTTTCACATTACCCCGGCGGCGAAAAACACCTGTGTGTGAGATATCATTTACCCTCCTGCCAGGCTCCATCACCTTCCATCGGTGGTGATGACTCTTACAGCAATAATAATAATAGCAACAATAAGGTGGACGATTCCCAGGACTATAAGAGCCTTTTTACAAGTGCCACTCTCGGTTTTCCGACGAGGTCCTCTTTCCTGACCATAATCATTGTTCGTATACCTGATGTTCCGTTGCTTTTGCGGCAATCTACTTTCTATGGCATAGTCGGATTGCTGGTTGTAATGAGGGGTTTTCGATCTGTAGTATGCTGCAGCAGGTGGAATCAACAGTTCTGATTGAGGAGGGGTGTAAAATTGTGGCGCATTTGCATCACGTTCCATGGGATTGGGACCTGGCGATTGGTATGCCGTTGGTAGTACGTCGCTTGTTACGTTAAGCTGTGGTTTTTTGTAAGCCTGCTTCCCGACATCATATGTACAGAGAAGCTTCCTAAATTTGTGCTTCTATGGGGATCTTTAGCTTGGACACTGGTATATCCAAGACCTTTCACCGCGGCTGGACTTGGTTGTTCTGGCGTCTTTCCACGTTCTAAGTCAACTGATGGCCCTCTAAGACCTGCCATGATGTCTTTGTGCCAAGTCGTTTGTATTTCCTACGGACTTCGCTTTTTCTCTCTTCCCGGTCACCTCAAATCCTTCTCGTCTCTGGGCTTTTCTCTCCTCCTGTTGGTGTGTTGATGTGATTGGTCCAAATTCTCTAGGTGGAACGACTCTATTGACTGATAACGCCAACAATAATGCGGTCGTATGGGAAAGGTTTAGAGGCCAGAAATCAGATTGCAGAGGTTGAAGGGCGAAGGGCGGAGGGCGGAATCTTGTTATTTATTAATTTTCACGTAAAGACTCATGTTCGTGATGGCCACGGCTGTGCCTCTTTCCGCAGTGCTATGAAACCCACAACCAACATAACATCCCCTCTTATAGCCACGTTCACGTCGTAGAGTTGCATTGTGGATTTTTGCAGCTTTTGGTTGGTCGGATTTTCTATGTGGATCTAATGCCATTGGGGATTTGGGTATTTTCTCTCACGAAAGAAATTCCCGATGTTGTTCCAATTATTTTCAACTTTGGCTGCCAAGATATCTTCCCGCAATACTGGTTGAGGAGAAATGTACTCGTGTTTACTATTAATGCGCATCACATGGCTACTGAAAATCTATATGGCCACATCCTATGCATCTACGGTAATTTCGAGTATCTCACCAGAGATAGGTGAAAAGAGTTAAAACCATTTTCTGTTTTATGTGAGTTGTATATGGCATATGTGCATGGAGATATATATACGCACCAATCCCAACAAGCGTTGGAGTAATTCCTCCACGTTTCGAGACCAGCTCGTGCGGTCAACTTCGTTACTGTACCTTGCCGAATGCCTTATCAGGCTGTTCAAAGTTATTATCAAGTGGGACTTGCATAGTAACATTTGGAATACTCAGATTCTGTAGTTGAGATGTTTCTCTATCTCTACCGTGTATCGTCTCCGAGGGACGTGCCGTACGTAGCAATATTTATCATATCCCCTGATGTGAAGCTCCCGCCCCAAAAATGTTTTGCTTCTAATCAAATGTTACCGATAACACCACGTTCTCCCGTATCCGAGCCAAAGAAGTACTGCGATCCTTCCTAGAAGTTCATCTGGACTAGCCTGTACCACTATCAAGAATCTTCATATGAATTCCACTATGAATAGCCAAATATGCCCCGGCACCCACACTCGCAACGATGGCTACTGATAAGATCAAGAAAAGCCATGTCTTATGTCTGAAATGACAGCACCGTTTTCGTTTGACTTGATCCTTAGTAACTGCTTCAATACTGGTTTGGCTGATCCTTTTCTCCAGTAGCTCCCGAAGACCTTTGTCAATATTGGTAAGCCCAGCTGAGTATGGTGGTGGAGCTTGAGGACTTCCATTGCTGACTGCCGGTTGGGGAAGAAATCTGTAGAGAGGCGCGCGTGGTTGTTCCCATCGTCCCTAAAAGCGAAGTGAGCGCAATTGTCGAATTCAGAATATCCATCAGAATGCACTTACGGTATAGACCAATTTCGGTTGCTGAAGTGCCTGGTCATACTCTGCGCCACGACTTGGGTGGTATTGTGGTGTTGGTAAGCGTTCTGGCATGCATAATTGATGTTGTTTTAGATCTTGAGACTAAGGGTGAGGTGTTAGACTGGAGGCTGGAGATCGCAAGTGATTGATGTACCTCAGCAGGCCGATATCCAGTATCGTACTGCGGGTATTCTGCCATTTTGTTACCTGAGATTTGAGTGTGTACAGAAGATGAGTAAATTAGACCAGAGAGTGGATTGCCATCTCAGGATGGAGATGCAGTTGGCGTGATATTGAAGGCTTTATATACTCATTTGCTACGATGAGAAATCAGGAGAGAAACTTCTTATCGGCTGAATAGCTACCGAAAAGTTATGGTGAATACACAACCTCACATTAACCAAGCTTCCAAGACTCACGCCTCTATATTGCTGGCGATGACATGCATCTGGGCAAGTAGTTCTTTTTTTGATTGGAATTAGGATTATCGGAGAAAGCAAAAAGCACCGAAAGCTCAGTAAAATTGTTCCGCTAAACTTTAAGTGACCATCCTTATCTTCTCAGTCAGACAGCTACAAAACCTGCATTCGTGGTTGTGAGGATAGGCAAGATTCTTCATAGTTTCTCTACCTGAAACGGTGCTACCTAGTAAGTTTTAGAAATCATGTGCAATGAATAGATAGTTATATCTCGTAGCTTTTTCCTATTAAAGGCTTCGGGTATCACAGCAATTAATAGTATAAGAACCTATCAAATATATTGGAGAAGCAGTCTGCAGTTTCGAACCCAGCAGCTAATAATGTTTGGTCATACATTCGAATGATTATGCTTACAAAGTCTAGGTTCTATCAACGCAGAAATAACGGGCATATCTGGACAGTCGGTGAATTTCAAATGACCTATGCTAATAGAGTTTATGAGGAGATCAGTCTAGTTCGGCTTGTAACATGGCAATTAGCGAAGCAGCTTCATTGGAACATTATTCACAAAGGGGCTCGCTCGCTTAACTCCAGAGATGATATGGCGACATCGTAGGAATTTGGCGGCATTATACATAGACCTTCCTTCGAAGAATTCAGGTCGCTATAAGAGAGCTTCTATTGCTATGTAATAAAGGAATGGTACATAGTCACGTGCGAGTCACATGACACTATATACCCAGTATCCCCCCGCCGTCACCTCCTGGCAATCTTGAAAGAGTCAAAAACAGCCACAAAGGTAATAAGATTTATGGAACAGACGCAACTCCTTGGGCAATTTAGGANGATTTATGGAACAGACGCAACTCCTTGGGCAATTTAGGAGTTGTAGTACAGTACAAAGAGACGAAGTGGAACGCTGGGGGGAGACTGAAGGTATTAGGACATGAGATGGCTAGCAGAAGCGGCAGCCAAGGAACCTGATATATGTCAAAAGATCAAGTAAAGCACTTCTTTTACGCTATGTATATAGTTGTAGATAGAAGCCAGACCGCCCAGGGGAGGAGGCTGCTGGTCACTGTATAGTGATGAAGTGAAGTGCGCTTACCAAATGCTGTAAGCTTACTTCGGCAGCTGCGCCGAAGCTGGACCACTCCGGCATAGCCGCCCTACGGCGGGCGGCTGGAACCGAGTATGAATAAATCAAATCAAATCAATCACCTCCTGGCAACCACCTACAGCCAACCACCTGTACCCCAAAAGATCTTGGCACTACGGCGCAACCGTATTACTTCTACTGGTACTGTATGGTTTTTCTACAGAGTACATTCTCGTTGTATCCTCAGTCACGGTGCACCTCCGCCGCTCCGAATTGATCGTCCACGTGCCTCATATATGTCAGGGCTTTTTTATTCGAGGATAAACTCTCCACGCATTCTGCTCTCGTGATGATCATCGAGAACCAGGTCGAGTTGGGCAAGTGGTAACAACGAGGACTGTGAGAGGTGCGCAAGAGGAGGAGCGATGCCAGGTCGGTACCAAGCTGCGATACCTAGTCAGAAAACATCTCACATGTCCTTTCTCTCCGGCAAAATACAAAGCAAATCCACAAGTCCTATGGCAAAATGTCCCTCATTAGGCTGGCTTCCCCGGGCCAGTCCATCAGGAACAGTAGCTCTAAGTTTCGCCTTGGCATATCACGCGAGGGAAGCGGGGATGGCAAACCTGGCAAGCTTATCGAGATGATTTTGATCAGATTGATTCGGGTTTTTACCTCGGCGACACGTATAATTAAGCAACATCACCGTTTCGTTTTTCTTTTTTCTTGAGACTTAGGAGAACTCAAAAGCTGTTGTTACCTTCTCTATGTTGTTCGTCAATTGAAGCTTTCTCGTGTTATGTTTGCGGCTTTCACAGTTATGCTCTTCCCTACGTCCCACACTCCATCGTTTATCTTACTCCTACCAGTCCTCGTTAGATCTGCTATTGTGACTTATACAATTCCCGATCGTGCTCCCGACACAGCAACTGCCTTAGATCCTGCTCCTGTCGGTGTTTCGTGGGTTGCAAGCTTCTTTCACCTGCTTCCGCACTGTTGACGGTTTTCTGTAGTTTCGAGTTCTTCGCGTTCCCGTCGTATTTTAAAAACGTCACGGCTACATCCCAATGTCTGAATAACTTCCGAACGCTGACGGGAACATGGCCACCCATTAGAATAGGGGGTACAACTCAGTTAGTCATAGCACGATTTACTTGGTTTCGATCACGCTGCTAATGGACATAAAGAGACCGGGCAAAATACGATGAATCCAGTTCAGCATACGTTGTATACAGCGTGGCAGATTCGAAGGATGCTCCAGCAGCATTGACGTTTGGCAAGTCGTTTTTCGAACTGGCAGCCACATATGCAGGGAACGTGGTGATCGGTACATACATTTTCTCCGAAATGCACATATATTATATTTTCTAAGAACATACAGGTCTCAACCGAGCTTACGATGACATTGAAAACACCATTGCTGCTGCAAAGGTGGTCCGGAGCAGCATGCCCAATCTTCGTGCCATTGAGCTAGGGAATGAGCCTGAGTATTACCTAGGAGCAAAACAGCCAGTTGCAGTAAAGGCTGGAACATGGAATCCAGCTGCGGACGCAAAGTCGCAGAATCTTTGGATCAATAAGGTTGGAGAAGCATTAGGGGGCTCTACAATTATTCAAGCTGGTAATTCGAACTCAGACGCACCAACATGGGGAATCGAAGCACTAGTCCCAGGGTTGGATGAGACCGCAAGATCTTATGTTTATGATTATGCGCATCACAACTATCCTGGAGGAACTGTAGCTAGTCTGATGAGCCATCGTGGCATTGTTGACAACATGCACAAGTTTATTGCGGACGTGGCACCAGCCACTGCTCTTGGAAAAGAGTATGTTCTTGGGGAGACTAATTCAGGTATGCGTTTCTGGCCGATCGTTCTGCTCCTGTTCTGACGAGGTTTAGTTTCGGGTGGAGGAGCTGCGAATGTCTCCCCCACATTTGGGGCCGCACTCTGGACAATGGATTACGTTATCCACGCTGCTGTCCTCAATATCAAGCGTACCTACTTTCACCATGGGACCGTTGGGCTTTGCTATTACTGCTGGTGGGGCCGCTATTCTATGGGTATGCATATTTCTTTCTTGGGAAAAGCTTGTTGATAGCTAAATGCAAATAGGTGCACCTTATTACGGTGCTTACGCTGCTCAGGCAGCCATGGCCGGTGGTTCATTCATTTCTCAGTTGGACACAGGTTCAGACAACTATGCTGTCTATGTCATCTACGACTCTGCCAGCAAGCCCATTCGCGTTCTCTTGTACAACTCCGACTACTATGATGGAAGTGGTGCAAGAGGAAGTTCGAGTTTTGTCTTGAACAATTTGCCAGCCTCGGTCATGAAAGCAAAGAGATTGACAGCTGCGAGTGCACTTTCCAGATCCGACCAAGGTTCTAGCCCAACCTTTGGTGGTCAGACTTTCGCTGATGTTACTTGCAAAATCGGAGGAGTTGAAAATTTCGAAACTATAAGTGCCACTGGAAAGGGTATATCAAGGCTCACTGTTGCTGCTTCCGAGGCGCTACTGGTTTATATACAGTAATATGGTGTTTTGTTTGGGTTGCAGACAAGTTCAGAAACTTGAGATGACGCACCTCATCTGGTTGTCTACGAATTGAGTTTTAGTAGGCTTGGCAATTTTCAGTCAACACCCACGGTGCCCTTGCAGCCCTTAGATATATCACTTTGATGCATTCGTCTTAGCCATGGAGGTGGCGAGCCTAAGACGAATGCTTGCGATAGACCGAAGAGTCGCAGCGAACATTTACTTGTACAAATTCTACCACTATTCTAATGATTGCAGACGATTAAGATAATTACATAAATCAAACTAGAAAGAACAAGGACAAAATTGGTTACGTTTTGTAAAACTTCGAGGGCAGCTGTGAAGTCGTTTGTCAACTAGCTTATCGTCTTGGTTAAGGGCAGAAACGTGTGGATTGGATTCTTGACATAGAAATAGGCATCCTCGTTAAAGCTACACAATTTTCTGCCCCGACCGTTTAGACAGGGTAAATAGCCTTGTCTGGTAAGATATCTTACATAGTAGCTTCTTCAAAAAGACCCTTTTTGGTACATCCAAATACTATAAATTAACCTCGTGTTGCCTATGTACCGAGCTTATAAGATCATAATCTATCGCAGCACCGCGTGGGCGCGACACAATGTTCACAATCTCAACCCCGCAATAGACAAGCATTGAGGTTCGGAAAAATACGAGCGGCTATTAAGGTTTGGGTGTCCACAGATAACCTCCCTTAATCGGCAAACTCCGGGGATATCGGGGAGTTCCAATTAGGCACCTGACGTCGTGGAAACTCTGTTTTTCCACGGGAGAATTTCTCGGTTACTGTACCATAGAGAACCTGACAGCATTTCATCGAAAACAAGGTTTATCTTTCCGCAGCTTCGAAAAGCTTCGTAGCAATAAGACTTTCTGAGAAGCTCTACTAAAATGCTTGAGTGGGTTTGGGTTGATTAGCATTTCTTATCTGATCTTTGGGTTTCTGTAGTTTATGAAAACATATCTCTGAGTAAGTCTTACAGAATGTGCAGGACGCAAAAATGGATGTTCATGCCGTCCTCAAAATATGGATGTATGAAGAAGGTGGATTTGACAGGTCCATGTGAATCATATGCCTAATCCACATTGTGAAACGACCGTATCGAGCACATCTACATGTCCGATTCGCCAATGATGCTTGGTCTTTCGTCCGAGCTATGATATGGGACCTATCGAAGTATTGGCCATGGGTAAATGTGACCACCTTCGTAAGTATCCTTCATGGCTAAAGTAGAGTTAACATGACTGCCTCTACCCTTGGGGATTCCTTTCCTGCTCCAGCGAGCAGTCTTTGTTTTGGATTTGGACTATTCACTGCGATAAAACGCTCTGTTTGATTAAGGTTGTCTTTGCGTCATGATTTCCTCACGCCTCCTTTCGTTCTTGGCAATTTGGACTGCAGTTCCATGTTTGGTATCATCAAGCTTGCAAATTGTAGGCTTTTTATTCAATAGACTTCTACGCTTCCGGCATTCCAAAATGCTAATTACATATCTTGCAGGTACCCGGCGCATCTATCACCATAGTTAATGCCCCCTACCAACATATGCAAGCTCATGGCGGTGGTGTAATCCTCGTCGACGGACTCTACTATCAAATCGGCGAGAACAAACTCGATGGATCGGCGTTCCAGTCTATAAACTGTTACAGTTCACCAGACTTGGTGAACTGGAAGTTTGTGAACAAACTTCTTACAGTGGGACAAGGCGCTTCCGATTTAGGGACTGGCAGAGTGGTGGAGAGACCCCATGTTCTCTACAATGAGAAAACATACAAATATGTTATGGTATGTTCTGAAAGACGGGGCAGGGGCTTTCAAAATTGAGCTAATTGATGCAACTTCAGTGGCTACATATTGATAGCAGCAACTATGGAGAAGCAAAAGCTGGTGTTGCGACCAGCGACACTGTCTGCGGCACATATACTTACGTGTGAGTTCTTCCGCACAAAGCTGAGGATGGCGGAAAACCCGAAAATCGAGACCTATGGAATTATTCAAACTGGGTGTATATTGACTTTCAGTGCAGCAACTCAGTTAAACCTCTCGGATACCAGAGTCGAGATATGAATCTCTTCAAAGATACAGATGGAATAGCCTATCTTCTTACCGAAGACGTAAGCCCAAAACCTCAAAGACTTCTCAATCATGACGGCTGACTATTTCGAAGAGAGTGAACGGTCTCCGAATTGACAGACTGTCTTCTGATTACTTGAAAGTCGAGAGCAACACATATCTTTGGCCAGAATGTATGTCTTGCTAACCCTCAATTCTGAATGGAACAGCACTGATCCCTGGAGTAGTATACGCCTACGAAGCGGCGGCGATTCTTAAAAGAGGAAATACATATTATGCCTTTTCCTCAGATCAAAGCGGATGGGACCCCAATGAGTGAGTAGAAGCAAGTCGTTAGCAACCATGCAGCTTACCTTGTTATACAGCAATATGTACTGCACTTCTACAAGTCTGTCTGGGCCTTGGAGCTCTTGGAAGCTGTTTGCACCTTCCGGAACGAAGACCGTGAGTCGATCTGCACTTTCTGTTTGGAGTAGATTCTGGATCATGATGCTCTTGGCCTTAATTTAATTGAACCCCGGAACCGTCACCCAAGAAATGCTGATTTCATACAATAGTACCGATCGCAAACAGCTGCAGTAGTTGACATAAATGGGGTTGCAATGTGAGTCTCAAGTGTCTTAAGGTAGTGGATATAAACTGATATCAATAGGTACATGGGAGATCGCTGGGTATCTTCCAACCTTATGAGATCCACCTACGTCTGGCTTCCTTTGACGATCTCAGGAACGACAGTTACTTTGGTAAAAATAAATTCGTTCATGAAATAGAATAAGAACTAAAAACATTCCCAGAACAACGAAGTGAACTGGACACTCGATATAGCCAGAGGGACATGGGCTCCCGGTCCCAAAGAAACCCAATACGAAGCAGAAGCAAGCGCAAACACCCTGGCAGGAGGCTCCAAAACGACTGCATGTTCTGGATGCTCAAGTTCAACGACTATCGGCTATATCGGCGGTTCTCCCAATGGGAAGCTAACAATACCCAAAGTGAGCAGTACTGTAGCAACAAATTCGACAATAAGAATCGGTTATACCAACGCGGATTCGACTCAGCGATATGCGACATTGACCGTAAACAATAACAAGTATATCGTGGCATTCATTCCAACCGGAGATGATAATACTCCAGGATCTGCAGCGGTAACAGTTGCATTGAATGCGGGCAGTGTCAATACCTTTGTTTTCGAAGCGTATAATGGTGGCTGGGGTGAGTAGTATTCTGATTGATAGAAAGGAGATTCATTACTAATAAATTCATGAAGGACCAAACATTGACAGGATCGCTGTACCAGTTTCTTAGAGAAGAAAGTCAAGGTTCGGATTGCTTTCTGGTCGGAAACTTGTTGATAGCTGAGGGATTGATGCTGTTTCTTAGGAGATCCAAGTGGTAATATTTTGAAGGTTGCAGACTCCAGATTATCTGTCTCGGGAGAGCGTATCGTTTCTTGATAGTCGAGTTATCACTCCAACCTTTCCAACGCTCAATGATCATATTCCTTGAAATGAGAGATACAACCGAGGTGGGAGGCAATGGAGCAATCGCACAAATTTCCTTCAGAAGTGCTTCAAAATTTCCAAATCGACCTGGATCAACAATCTTCCATGCAGAGAGCTCCTTTCGTGCCTCCGTGATTGCTGTCTCTGTTGCACTTTCGTATTGATCCCCCATTATACGCAAGCGCAGATATTTTCCAATGACCATCGAGCATAGAAAAGCGAGCTGGCCATCTAGGGGATCGTGGCTAGACGAAGCAAGATATTGGCATGGGACTTCGATCGTGGTGATTGCGCGTGCTTTCAGAGCAAATGTCCCAATTTGAATCTCAATGTCTGAATATTGTTCATCGGGTAATGGTGATTTAAAAAGGTATCTAACAGCAACCCAAATTTATCCCGTCGCACAAGTGCATAGTGAGTACCAAGATCCGTTCGACATATTTTCCTTTTGCAAGAATGCTCTCCCTCCCATGGTTCTGATATCCGCAAAGTTTGCCGAGAGATTTGATCCATATTTGGCCAGGAACTTCTCATCTGTGACGTTGATGTTCGGTAGGGATACACCAGAGTCATTTCTAGGAGCTATGAGGAAAGTTGGCCTTCTCAACTTGTTCGCAGTTTCTGGTATTCGATTGATGTAAAAGTTTGGATGGGGGTCTAGTATTTTGTCAGTATCCATGTTGTGTGGAAGTCGCTGAACTAACATGCTGTACCAATGGCGGCCTCCTGAATGATATCAGGAAGTTGAGTAAAGACGCGCTTATTCTCCGACTCCACATGTATGGTAGATGGAGCCCGACTTAGGCTGGTAAAGATGAAAGTGCCGTCTGAAGTCATTACCGCGGCTTCTAGATTAAAAAAGACTAGAATGTAGTACTAAGAATGCAATTCTCTTCATGCCAAAGTTGAGCTGGTGTTTATCACTCCCTTAAAGATTTCGGTAATCAATCCGTATCGATAGCAGGGACATGGTTATATTTAGAACGATGCAGAATACGAGATGCGGGCGTTTCTCACCCCTAGTTGAAACACATGGAGTGCTTATGCAAGGTACAGTGTGAAGTAACAAAAGTGATTGGCGCTGCATCTTTTCCTGTAGGAATGGTCTTACTATCGGCATTCTCATAAGAATCAAGCCAGGGATGGAAATGATACATGCACCAGATGTACTTGGCGAAATTTGAACTGCCATTTTTCAACATCGCGAACATACGACCAGACCAAAGACTTTTTCTATCAGCGCGAATTAACAGTTAACTCCAAATCCTAGGTTCAGTCAAACAATTGCCCTGGAAAACTTGTGTCGATAGCCTATGATTAGTTTAGAAATGAGGAATGAACAACTGAGTCACTGCAGCCTTTCTTTTAGCTATTGTGCGATTCTCCCAACCGCGGCAGGTAGAACCAAATATAGTTTGTATAATGTTGTAGGTAGCCTGAGCGATGCGTCTGGTATTAAAGTACGTATCCAAAATCGCTCTGCCACTTTCTCAGCTGATGTTCTTTACAAAAACGAGTTTTAACGGAAAAACCTGTTGTGTAACTCTGAAAGTGCACAGCAAACATGCGCATTGTACCACGAACAACCACATGATTGCCATGATGCAAGATTTCAGGCTATACACCATGTTACTCTCTTGGAATCGCATCCCGGGGTTATCGAGCTTGATGCTTCCTTCGTCAACCAGAATCTATCATCCTAAATACCGAAGGACCAGTTTCAGGCTGATTGCACACCTCCATTGCAATGACGGCCATCTCGAGATCGCAGTACGAGGACTTCGCCCCCAAATACGACCTCATTGAAAACGCACCCTCCTACAAACTCGAATATCAACTCATCAAAGCCGCGTTAGGTGACTGTACAGGCCTTAGTGTCCTCGATCTTGGAGGAGGAAGCGGACTTCACGCTCGTCAGGCTATTGATGCTGGCGCATCAAAAGTTGACGTCGTGGATGTCTCGCCCTCTATGCTGGAAATTGGAAAATCCATCGAGGCTTCGCTCGGTCGTACAGAGAGCATAGCCTGGCACATTGCTGATGTGTCGCGCGACATTTCATCGCAGGACATCTCAACTTCGCTACTAGGACCCGGGGAATATGATGTGGTAATGGTAAATTGGACTTTCGACCATGCCGAGACGTTGGATGATTTGAGGGGGATGTGGGCGAACGTCGCGCTTTATCTCAAACCTTCTGGTCGCTTCATTGGGGTGCGTACGTGTGGCAAGGGCTTACGGGCTGCATACTCCCGAGGGGGTAATGGCAAATACGGCGTTACCTTGACAAACATGGAGGATATTGCGAATGGAGTTCGCTTCAAAGTGTCTTTTTTGGTGGCCGATAAAGTCGTCGTGGAATTGGATGCCACGTCAATGGAAGACAGCTATGCCCTTGTGGATGAGATTCCAAGACAGCTAGGTATTGTGGATTTTGAGATTGTACCATATGAGAAGATGGCTATAGTGAAAGCGGATCATGAGTACTGGAAGGAGTTTCTTGATGAGCCTAACCTTGTTGTTGTGAAGGCGAGAAAGGGGTAAAGTGGTCAAGGGCGAGTTCCAAGGGAAGCCACATCTGGCGGGGGTAACTCATGCAAGTAGACCGTGAGAAGGGCTCATTCGTAAAGTTTCGGGGTTTATCTGCATTCTATAAGACTGCTCTAGCCACCTTGTTCAATTTCTGTTTATCTCGCCAAGCGCTAATTGTCCTCGAAAACGTTCTCTTTCACCTGTAGTCTCGGATAATTCACCTCCCGTTACACCTCATCTGCCTCAAATGAATGACCGCCCATCTTTTTGAAATTTAGAAAGTCCGGAGTAATTCATGTAATTGTCTCAACCCAGTAAGAAGTCCCGGTTGAACCCCTTAATTGTACAGTGCTATCATTCATTAGGGGGGCCAGTATATCGAGCGCCTTCACCCTCGCCTGTTATCCGAAATTCACCGCTCTACTCCTTAGTAGTATGTTCCAATACTGAAAGTGGGTCTTTTTTCCATGCTAGTACTAGAAAAAAAAGCAATCTTCAGCCCACGCGCGTACTTTTGTACCTAACATGATAACATCCTATTTCGGTATTATTCCCACTTGCTATATCCTTCTTATATAGTAGAATACTAGGATTATTCTAGTATTTACTTACGTAGATTTCAAAACGTCTCTTAAGTCACTATAAGAGCTCTTTTAGACGAAGCCCTCTATCTTCTCCGCGGTTCTCGCCTCGCTAAGATGGATTTTCGTGTTTGGCGAGCCTCGGGTTCGGAATTCGCACATGCCTCGAGAGACGCAAGTAGAAACCATTATGACAAGAAGAATGGTCCAAGCCAGTTGTTAGAAGCATAAAACTTTGCAGTCTAATTCGATTGAATGTTAGTGTTACTACGGTTGGTCGATTTCGGGATCACCAGCTACTAATAGGAACCGAAGGGGGGATTACATGGGACTTAAAGAAGAAAAGAAAGAGACTGTGAATACATAGCATAAATATATAATTCAAATAATCTGGACTCGATCTCTGGATTTTGTTTGTAGTGGATTCCCCTACCTCGAAACTTGGAAAACAAGACTATGTATCTAACAACAAACCTTTTTTGTTGGCTCATTCTACATTGCAATAGAGCATTGGAGCATGCTATATAATTCGAAGTATGCACTTTTTGATGTTTCTGGAGAACTGTATGTAGGCTTCAGATAAAGCTACAGGAGTCATTCTCCTCAGCAGATGTGAATTTTGTGTACTACTATGAGAGTTTCAACATCTTGAGAGACAATTCCCACAACTTCTTCTCGCCCTCTGGGTTGAAGCCGTGTGGTGCAATACCGACCGCCAATGTGCCACCCTCCGGGAGTGGGCCAGCTTCCTGGCAATCCTCCAGATAGACACCGCCCTTGCCTTCCCATTCCTTGCCGAATGCAGCCGTGATGGTCGTGGCAGCGCCTTGAGCTGGGCTCTTGATATACTTTCTAGACGCTTCACTGGAACCCCACGTCGCCAACATTTCCGGGTCGACGTGACGCTGCAGGCCTGTTGCAATACCGCCAGGCATCAAAGAATAGCCGTGCAGACCTTTGGAACCGTAGCGGCGCTCAATCTCGTTCGTCATCCAAATACAAGCTGTCTTGGCATTGCCGTATGCCTTCCACGGCCCGTAATTACCATCAAGGTTAATGTTGTCGAGGAGAACGGTGCTCATATGATGACCGGCAGAAGAGACATTGACGGCGCGAGAATGGAACTCGGGTGTAGAACTGGACAAGAGCGTCGGCTCAAGTAGCTTGTAGAGAAGGAAGTGGCCGAGATAGTTGACTGCCAGCTGTGACTCGAAGCCATCCGCTGTCTTTTCCTCTGGGCATGCCATGAGCCCGGCATTGTTGATCAGGACATTGAGCTGTTTCGATTTTGACAGAAAGGTCTTCGCCGCACTGCGAACGCTTTCCATTGAGCCAACGTCCAGCTCAAGCAGCTCCACTCGACCAGGTTCGAGAATCTCTTTCAGAGCTTTTTTCCCATTCTCCAAGTCCCGAACGCCCAGATACACTTTACCACCTGTCGCGGCAAGCGCGCGACCAGTTTCAATGCCAATCCCCCCAGAGGATCCGGTGAGAAGAAAGACCTGGTTGTGGTCAATTCCAGTTGCAGTTTTCTGTAGCAGCAGCGATGCTCACCTTGTCCTTCATCGTACCGATCCGGTTGTTGTCCTTGAGAATGTCAAGAGCTGTAGGTCGAGCGTCTCCAGGCCCATTCTGCTCCAAGAAGGCCTTCGTGTACTTGCCGTTCTTGCCATGGTGATTGCTAAGGAGCGGACTAGCCATTATGGTGATTGTGGTGTTGTTGGATATATTTATATATATAGCTGTTAGCTGGTAGCTAGTCTTCTTGGATTTAGTTTTGCAAGTGTCTGGCGGGGAGAAGATATACAGTATGCCTAGCGGTGCTTCATGGAGGGGGCGGGGTAGTTAGAGGCATCATCGACCATTCAAGCCAGACAGTATCTTTGAGCAGGTATGCCGAGCTGAAAGGTGGTCCAGTCCTCTTTCAGGGCGGGAATCGCTTCACCAAAAATACCAAAACGGGAAAATACCCAATCGGGGCTGCAAGCCATCTGTAGCTGGCCCGGCCCGCAATGATGGGGCTGCCATAGGTACCCCTCTACGTGTACTCGTACAGGAAAAACCCCGCATGCCTACCATCACCCTTTTTTTGTACCCTCGAAATAAATCGCAAGAATATGAATCAAATTTTAAAGTGTTTTGGGGGCACCTGCTTTGTAAAGCTGGAACTTCTTAAAATCTGCATTGGAATTTCCTGGAGTAATAGGAGGTCTTGATCGAGTTGATAGCCGGACTTAAAATCTTAAATGTGCGAGTTTTCCTGTACACGTAGAGGTACCTCGCTCGCAGGTGGTGACAGAAATGATTTGTGTCATTGTATCCACTAGGCCATGCACATGTCCCAAAGGATATCCAAAGTTTGACTAATTATAGTTATGAACATATGCTTGTTCCAAGTCTGACCCCTCAACTGTGACGGATGAGCTGGATCAGGCCCCGCCCGGTAAAGTTATAGTCACGTGATAATCAACAGTACCTACCCCGTAGATCTAGATACTGCTCGACAACGACAACTTTCTTTTGCAATCTGCACTGTCAAGACTCCAGGATATCATCTGTCATCTATCATCTATCATACTGCTTACCCATGGGTACTATGTGTATCTGCATGTGCACGAGCACACTACTCTTTCAGATTCGAGGTATGCTGGCGCGGGCTTGAGAGGTACAATTGTATGTATATCAATCAATATTCCCAAATGGGTATTGCGTGTTTTGATATACTGAGAAAAAGATAAGCATACACACGGAGTTGAGAACAAGCGTGATACACAAACAAAGCGAGGGAGAAGACTGACGCACCACATGATACAAAAGTGATTTACAGATTGAGTGACTTTGTATGAATTATTCGGCACTTGGAAAAATCGGTAATTGTACCCAATAAGAAAAGTCTAGGTAGGGACCAGACAACCAATGTGCAGACTGTCAGGAGACTACCATAATGCTATAAGTCGATTGGCGGCTGTCAACCGCTCATCCAATGCAAGTAGCGAAAGGACTCAAGTTGTTGTAAATAGATTAATTTCAGATCCAATGGCTTGGAATGACGGGTATAATTTTGATTATTTCCATGTTCGTGGATAAGAATTTGGATGAAAGGAGGGTAAATCTTTGGCATCTGTCCAAGACAACGGCAAATATATCCAATATAAAGAGGTATGGGTATAAGAGCGGTTGCTCGACAGTGGTGGCCATATCTAATGAAATCTGACATTGATGTCAGCAAGAGAAAACTCTTTCCCGTCCTTTAAAAATGAAGTGGATTACTCTCACAATCGCGCTTGTCGGCTCATCCCAAGCAGCCCTTCGATTTGGATGTTCAACACTAAGCATCCAACGTCTTGATCCTCTCGTAGAACCCGGAAAGACTCCATCAGCGCATCTTCATCAAATCGTAGGCGGAAATGCTTTCAATGCAAGCATGGCCGGTGATATTGGCGAGCAGGGAACTTGCACAACGTGTACTTTCACTGAAGATTTCTCGAATTACTGGACGGCGACCATGTTCTTCAAACATACCAATGGCTCCTACAAACGTGTTCAGATAATGCAGAATACAGCGTTGCCTAACGGAATCAATGGTGGAATGACCATCTATTACACGCAGAAATATTTCAGTTCCAACGGGAAAGCGAAGATTACCTCCTTCAAACCGGTGAGTGTAAATTCCTATATTTTTGGTGTAGATTACTAACGCTTCCAGGGCTTCCGTATGACAGTTGGTACTCCGACGACTGATACTTTGGATAGCGCAAAGAAACATGTGGGACTTCGCTTCGTTTGTCTAGCAGATAAGGGAACCAGATTTCCTGAGCTTCCTGACTTTCCGACGAAAGCATGCAAAGGCGGAATCATGACTGTTCACCATTTCCGTCCATTCTCGGTAATCTCTAACGAGATATAGATGCTGGGATGGCAAAACTCTCGACCCTCCTGATCACCAGTCACACATGTACAATACAGTGAAAGATGCATTTGCCGAAGCAGGACCTTGTCCATCCACACACCCTGTTCGTGTACCACAAGTCGCGTATGAAACATTGTGGGATACGACTCAGTTCAACAATATGTGGCCGGCGAATGGCTCGAATCCATTCGTATTGAGTTACGGTGACAACAAGGGCTATGGTACGCATGCCGACTATGTATTTGGTTGGAAAGGCGACTCCCTCCAGAGAGCTATGGATTCTTCTTGTATGTTCCAAGCTTGCGAGGGTGGGAAGCCTCTCAAGTCGCAGGGCGTTGCGGATATGAACAAGTGTGCTGTCAAGAGCTCTGTCAAAGAGAATCTTGATGGATGTAAGTTGGAGATATGATTCTTCTGGTTATGTAAGGAACTAACGAATTATGAATAGGGCTCCCGCAGCTCCCATCGGGTTCTATGGCGATGGAATGACTTTGAAGGAAGTTATTTAAGCCACACGATGCTTCACAAAAGGCTGAACATTCTTTTCGTAATTTCATTGGGCTTCCGAAGTACCGAATACTCATCCAAATAACAAGAACATAGAGCTTATCAATAGTCTTTCTTGCCGTAGTCATTAAAAGATAAAAAGTAGAGTGACTGAACCAGAAGAGAATGAATCACATGAATGCAGAGTGAAACATTGATGATTCTAATGTATCGAATTCTTATGAACTTAATTGAGAGGCGCTACAGTATCTTTCGCGTATATTGATATCGTACTGCCATGAACAGTTCTGCTCCATGGTAAACGAGTGACGAGAAAGGGAGAAAAGGACATCCTAGCAAATTGACCAAAAAGAAAACATGGAAGCCTGCCCCAGCATGCTTCGTAGGAAAGTTGAAAAGGTCTTGAGCTTAAGTGTGAACGGAAATAGCGAATTTGATCTTTATTTTACACCTGCCTTACCATCTTTTATAACATAGTATAAAGAAACACACATGAAGCAACTTTCAAATCCTTTTGCTTGCCTCTATTTGCTTATTATACTTCTACAGTCATGAGAATGTGTCACTATGTATAGCTTCAGTATCCAAACGCCCTATTTTGTCACAAGCAATATCAGCCCTGCCAACACTTGCATCTTTTTATCAGTTGATTTGGCCTCTTTTGTTTCATCTTTGCTTTCCTACTACTTATTCTGCTACAATTTCCATTGAGAGCTAGCTATGTTTTCATATGATCTTACTTCCACAGGAGAATTTGGCCCGCTAAGCGAATCTTCTAATTCTTCTCCTCCAACTACATGACAAGCAAAATCAAGAAATTTATAGGAGTTCGAGTTCATACAACCAAGAAATATCCGTCACACCATCTCTCTATCCTCCCCCACCTCTTAACCAACATAAATCAAATTTACTGAGCCAAACTAAAGTCTGGTACACGCATGCAAGAGCAATATTCCTATGTCAAAGTAACATGCAGTTACATAAGCGAAGATACGAGGGATTGTTGGAAAACGCAGTGAGACTTTCCGATACTGGTGGTCTATTAGTGGAAAAGAAGAAGGCTGAGCAGATCAAAGAGAGGTTCGATAAACTTGAAGATACCATGATTGGTTTGGTGCAAAAGTTGAGAAGATTGACTGATCATGTTAAGAAAGACCTGTTGGGAGAGCAATGAATCTTAAACCTGTCTCATGTGTAGATAAGGCTGCTAGCTAAAATTTCGAGATTTATGATTAGTGGCAAATAATATCCTCTGATCCGACATACAAAATCCCCAAGCCAAATGCCAGAATTTATATTATATAATCGAACTAGAGATCTGGAAGAGAAGTTAACTTAAGCCATATGCTTACCAGAGGAAGCTAGATGTTCTAACATCTTTTTCCAACGAAAGATATTGTATCAGGGCTAGGGAAAGCTTTTGGCCTGAAATTAGAACGACTTCGAGCTCACATTGCATTCTTTTCGATTAATAAGAGCAAAGAATTATTAGGTACCAAATACTAAACATTTTTACCCCTATAGGAAAGTACAGTTCTCTCCACTACCTACAAATCTTTTACATGTTTGAGCAATCCTCATAAAGTTTTGCTTGGGAAATCAGATTTTAGTGACGAATGTGTGCCAAGTAAGATAGACTTACACGTCTATATGAATCATTTTGAACTGTAAAGCCCTGAAGAAGACCCCTATTTATCCCCCGCTCATCTGTTGGACGAAAATCTCATATTGACTTCTGAGTTTCTATCAGTAGCTTTGTAACCAGTCTACGTAATTTATGGTAAAAAGATTCTACAGACACCCAAGAAAAGTTTACCCCCAGCCTTAAGAGTCTCTATTAGCCTATTACACCGCACCTAAAGCCTTTGGTGACAACAACCCAAAAGAATGCCAGGAGACAGACAAGACAAAGATGAACTCATAGGTAAGCAGCTGCCTTCAACCCAAAACAACAACAACAACACTGACTTCAAGCAAGATTTCATTAATCTTGTAGTGCAACGACTTGGTAACCTAAAGGAGGAAGTTGAGAAAGCTGTGAAGAGTTACAAAGAAGTTCAACGGATGCTAAACAGCGGGGGGGAAACAGTCCAAAAACAGCCTGGGGCTCTCTTACCAACGGCGGCCCAGGACACTTGTAACACGCTAATAAATACAATGGTTGACTCGATGAGTCATTTGGAGGGTATTGCTCATGTGCTGGTTAACGGACTGGAATAGGATTGTTGTGTTGTGTAGACTACGACAGAGGAAAAGTGATTTGATGAGCCATACTGTCGTACATTTCATACATCATTTTGAGTCTTCCCTTCTGTATTGAGGCAGATTCAAGATGACTGGTATTCAAAGAATCTGCTATGGTAGTGCTAGTTCTATTTTATGACACATCCACGCGTGGAGAATATTAAACCTACATGACTCAAGTTGGGCTGTTCAATCTTATGAGAATGCCTATATCAGCTCTGCTCACTTCCATGAACATATCAATAAAAGATCCTTGCCTTACCCCTTCTACCCCTAGAACTCTTTTTTATAGTACCACATTATTGCTAAAGCTTCCTCACATTATAAAAAACCCAATGGAGGAAACAGAGTAGTCTTTCCAAATAATGACAGACAGCGAACAAGCCCAGGAGCTAAAAAGGAAGTACTAGGTAAACATCCATATCCCCTTCCAACCATCGCAGAAAAGCTTAGTCAAAGATAAGGCATCATCGATAGCCTAGTGGGGCGCATCATCATCCTCCGCGAAGTAAAGAATTTCGAATTCAAAATCAAAAATGTCCCATCAAAACTCGAACGTATAGAAGAAAATATATTGAGAACAAGGGTTGCTATAGATCCTCTAACTGGCGAGGGGGTTATACCGAATGACCAAGGAAAAGAGGTGGCAGAGAGTTGTGTAGGATTGCTGGCTTCCTTGGAGGAAATCAAGGATAAATCATTAGGTATTCTTGATGAATTGAGTATAAGGGTTTCAAAGATCCTGTGAGATTAGAGGGTTAATCTAAGTGGGGAAAAGGGGGGATTGTTGGAATCTTGCTTTTAATGTATTTCTTTACCGAGTTTACGTAGACAATTTAGGTCATAAATCTTATCATGCTTTAAGGAAGCCTTATTTCTTTGGCAATAGCAAAGCACAACAAGGTTCTTCGTTTTCAGTGAAGACATACAGTACCATGTGATAAAGCTCACTCTCTAAATCATATAGGCAACCCAACATTGCCTGCTTGGGGCTAGTTTGTGCTATTGTCATATTGTCTTTCAAGTTTGAAGAGCTACCATGTGATATATTTTACAATAGAATCATACTTCTTTTATTCCCAGATTGTCAAAGTAATACACAAGCATCTCTTGACCACAGTATCATTTAACAAATTTGGCATCTACCTCCCAGTCTCTGGACCAGAGCAATCTTAACGTGACCAGAATTAGATCACTGGGCCGGAATAATATCCACTTCCCACACAAACAACAAGCCAGAAGCAGCTATATCAACACTGCCCACCACTCCCCTCAAGATCCAAAAACTCCCAGATTTCCCAGCTCTTCTGCAAAGTCCACCCCCATAATCCCTAACCCCAAGAAAAAAACAAGCGCAAGACAAGAAACCACGGAAATGACCAAACCAAATTCAACGATCGAGCAGGAACTCCAAGGTACGACTCCTCTCTCCACTTCCCATCCCAAAACAAGACACCAACGTCCGAAAACCCCCACTAACTAGACTAAAGAGCTCTTGACAACCCCTCAGGAATTGTCCAATACCGTGGAGCGTAGAATCAACGCTCTATCTCCAGGCATAGCGAAAGCAGGAAAGAAAGTCGATTCATATCCCTCAAAAGACTCAGCCTCAGTCCTCCTCGAAAACTTCAAAAGGTTGAGAGAGAGTATTAGATGCGGATCAGCAGACTTCGAAAAGTACATGGCAGAGCTAGAGGACCGGCTTTCTAGGATCAATATAGAGGAGAATGAACCGGAATACGTGGTTGTAGAGCCAAGAACGAGTCGTTGATTGAGCGGTCTGTGATATGGTAACCCTCAAATCGACTTTTTGATCAATACCATGGGTAATTCATCAACTGGACCACATGATGGAATTCTCCTACTAATTGACGAATCTTTGACTTCCGAACAATTCGTTATTTTGATTGATGATAAAGGTCGATTTTTAATCAAAACACACCCTTCGCCTAGAAAGTAAATAATCAATCCAGTAATTAAACTACAAAACAACAACTCCTCGCAAATCCTCTGTACCTAAGGCATCCCGAATTTACTACTAAACCAGATAGTTAAATCGTAAATCGCAAATGGTAAAAGTCACTTTATATTACTATTGGGTTGAAAGGGTATTGGGTACTGAAGGTCATGGAGAATTGATTGCGTTGTAAAAGGTAGCTATCTAAGGTGTTTATATAAAGAGTGTAAGGTTTAGGCAGACATGAAGCATTTAGGCAGCAGAGCTATAAGTGGATCAAATCAGGAAGTGGAGCAAAAGAGAAAGTAGACCCAGCACAACAATTACCTAGGTAGGTAGAGCTAGATAATAAACTCGGGTTATTCTGAAATATCTCGTATAGTATAATTATAAGTCCTCTAGACTACAAGTCCGCGGGTGTGCCCTCTTACGCCCCCCTCTCTATTCCCCTATCTCCCCCCCCTATACGTGTCTCGTACGTACTAGCTATATACCCCTACTCCCGACCCCTGCTCCCTAGGTCGTCTTATAGGTTTTATTACAACGTAATCTACTAGGCCCCTCTTTCCTAGTAAACAAATACCTTTTATTCCTTCTTATTATTACTTTCGCTATTGCTATCGCTGTTGTAGTCGTAAAGGGTTGTCGTAAAGAAAGAGAAGAGAAAGTAAGAGAGAGAGAGGACAGACAAGTAGCAAACAATTGTTAGCGTAACACGTGCTAGCCTAACCTCTTTAGGAAGGTAGTATTCGGAGGCTAGGAATAGCGACACGTACGACTAAAAACTTTTCCCGACTTCTGTCCCCCTCTGCTACCCTCTCTCTCTCTCTCTCTCTCTCTCTCTTCTAAATAACATACTAGGGTACAACCCCTATACGACAGTGGGTATAGGCGACAGCAGGGGTGCGAAAGCGGGGGTGCGACAGTGAGGGTGCGACAGCGAGGGTGCGACAGCGAGGGTGCGACAGCGAGGGTGCGACAGTGAGGGTAGCGAGTATACACGTGAAAATTTCAAGGCTACGAAGTTTGAGCGAGGGTGGGGGCACTCTAGTATAGTAGTAGTAAATATATAACTTTTGCGATTTGCGATTTGCGATTTAGTCATCTGGTTTAATTAGATTCGGGATGCCGTAATACCCAAACAAAAATTGAAGCTGTTCCCAAATACCATTATTTCGCCTTTAGTTTATGTCTAGCACCAACCCTGTTCTTCTCTTTTGTCGTATTAGGAGAGGGGTAAACTAGGGTACTAGGAAAGTGGGGAGGGCCAGAGATCACAGTCCTTTATATAGAGTTTTGTTGTAGTGTTGACAGCCCACATTCCATTCCTTATTCCTCATTCCACACCCACCACCCCACTCGCACCACACCCTTCTAAGACACAATAAAGGCGCATTATGGAATGGACTATTATACTTGTCGAGGGGACAAGGGATCCTCGATCCCCTGGGGGATCCCCGCGCTGACTCAGCTAGCACTTGTCACCCACATTTTAGTGTGGAATGCTATTTTACCAAGTCCGGTAGGTTACTAGGGGATCGTATACGTTTTACTTGTCTAATTACTTATCCTTTGTATATATAATCCTTTAGTATTACCTATAGCGTATACTATAAACCACCTAAATAAAGGCCGCTAGTAAGCCTAATATTCTAATAGTTAGGGTTAAATTCTATAAATATCTACCCCTTTATACTAATTCGTATATTTAGGTAACGATTCCCTTATAATTTAAGATAGTTCTTATTATTTAGTACTTCTATTTAGCTAATATCCCTAAAAGATTATTAAAATACTTAGCTATAGAAGACCTCGAAAACTACTACTAACCGCGCCGAATAGCCTTAATACCCTACTAGTAACCCTAAATAAGATAGAGTAGTTATATATCGATATTAATAATTAAGCTACTAGCGTATAAGTAGTAAATAACGCCTTAGTATAAAAGAAGGCTACCTAGCCTGCTAATATAACTAAGGCGTATAACTAGCTCTAGAGACTATAGAGAGAGTAGTATACTAAGCGTAGGTACGTTAATTCGGATATTATAATATCTCTAAAAGTATATTATTTCCTTAATAAGGTTATTATTCTATAGTGTAAAAAGCTCTCTACTAAAAAGCTTAAACTCTACTAAAAAGAGCGTAAGGTAATATAAGCTTCTAAGCCTAGTATAGCTCTATCCTTTTCTTTAAATAACCTTACTTATAAGAACAGGAAGACTTTATTAAATACTATTGTTGATACGACTGTACAGGTTTGTTCTCTCTCTCTCTCTCTCAAAGTGTGACACAAAGTAAGCGCGCTGATTCTCGATTGTATTCTGTGTGTTCCTCCTATCTACAATTGCTTCGGACGATGGGTAAAAGAGTGTGGGTGTCTGATACGAAACACGTATCAGATGCGTGGGGAAAAACGTGACATAGGAAAACGTGACCTGCACCGCTGAAAACCCGAATGCCAGCATTCCAACAATTCTAGTATTCCCAACACTGGCAATCTTTTCTTTTCTTAATCCCG